CATCCCTTGGTGTAAAGGGATGTATCGGGGCGTTCCCAGGCCGGGTTCCCAGATCACCTCCTGTCTTCACGGTCTACTTCAGGGTCTTTAAAGTAGGAGTATAACCACCGTGTGTGTTGGGAGTCTCCGCCAGATAAGGACCGTGAAAGGCAAGGCAAGGGGTTATTACATGCTCTCCCTTGTCTTTTGACTAGAGCTGCTTCACAGCCCAAGGCTTAAAGGGCTGTGATCATCCAGTGACCTCAGGCACAGTCTCCCCTTTACTCTCATTCTGGGGTGGTGAGATGATGATGACGATGGCCTATTTATAGTGCCATTAATGTTGGCAGGCTCATGGGCACATTTCTCATGTTAATGCATATAATTCTCCTAACGACCCAGGAGAGATTAATGCTCCTGCGAAGCAGCCACCCCTGTTGACTGTGATAGTCTGTGTTCTCATTAATAATCTTCCCAGCGCTTATCACGGACTAAAATTAACTCACCTGCATGTTTATGGTCTGTCTGCTCCAATTAGGCAGAAAGTTCCATGGGAGCCGAGCCTTATCTGCCTTGGACTTGGCCGATATCCCGGGGCCTAGAAGAGCCCTTGACTAGCACATGGGAAAGAGTTGGTAGATCCATTTAACAGATGGGGAAAGCAGCCGAGAAGGCCCCCCACCTTCTCCCCACCTCACGAGCGTGTTCCCGTGGTACACTGGGCTCTCTGTGCTGTGCCCTGATAGAGATCTGAGGTTGTCACAAATGTGGCCCAAGGACAAGTCCTTTCCCCGGCTAGCTAGCCGTCCCACTCTTGCCCCCGTGTTTTGATGGCTTGGGGGTTCTGTCTTGGACAGGGAAACCAACTGAGAATCTGAGCAGGATCTCAGGAGGGCAACCTCATAGCTATCACCTGGTTTCCCCTTTGTTCTGAGTTGTCACTTATGAATAAGGCTAATTCCTTCTTGGAAGCCTTTTCCCGTTGAGCCTGTGGAAGTTCCTAGGATATCTGGCTCTGCCTCACCCACCGGGCCCTAGTCCCTGTCGTCTTTCAAAGACTACACAGTTCCTGATTTCAGGATTTGGCACAGAACTCTGCTGACCTTCTGCGAAGTCAAGACTTCCAGGAAGCCAAAAGTTTAGCCCGAAAGCAGGAGGCCAGCTGGTGGCAAAAGCGGACATGGGCACCAGGACTCCGGGCCCTCAGCTCCTGCCCAGAAACCCTTCCCATCATTTTCCCCCCCGCTCATGCCTCCAGCCTGCGTGGGTGGGGAATTCCTTTGCGCCTTGTGGAGAACTGGCTCAGTGATTTCCAGAGGAGGGAAGTTTCCACACAAGGAAAGCCCTCTAGAAAGGAGGTGATCGGGGGACCAAGAGGTGATACTTGGAGTTCAAGAGGTCAGAGTTCAAGTTGAGCCATCATCACTTCCAGGCTGAGTGGCTCTTGGCAGCTGATGGCTATTTGAGTCTCTGGTTCCCCTTCTGTAAAAGGGGATGGTGATGTCTGCATCTCAAGGCTACTGCGTATGAGAGATGCGGTGCCACCAAGAAACAGTTGGCACAGTGCCTGCCTGTGGTCGATGCTTAAGATGCCCAAGAGGCTTGCTTCTCGGGAAATCAGACTTGGGGATCCAGAAGGAAGCACTGGAGACCCTTGTAACCCCCAAAGCCCCCCCCCATATGAAAATTCTGTTCTTTTTTGTTTGGGCTATGACTCTATTGTCTTTTAAATTTTATTTTACAAAAAGGGTCAGAAAATGGAATTGTCCTACAAAAAAAAAAAAAACAAACAAACAAAACTGAGACCGGCCGTTTCTTAGTATACCGGGAGCAGAAGTCCAGGTGTGTGGTAACTCAGGCTAGTAACACAACAGGCCCTCAGCGTCTCGCTTCAAGCCAGCCTTGAGAATGGTGTGGTATGCATACATTAGGCGCTTGTTAAGTGCCGACAGGGTGTGTGTTCATTAAGCATTTGTTTAACGCGCTAAGCATTTTCCTCAGGTGTGAATCAATGTACCCAGGCTGCTTGAGCCTACCTGTATGATCTTTATTCATAAATAAGAGACACTGTGAGCCCTGGTAGGACCTGCTGACCAGCAGGGGGACATAGGGAAGGCGGGGCTCCCCCTCCGTCCCCTGCTTTTCCCACACTGCCTGGGTTAGGGAGGTCCCTATAGCCCAGGGCCTGGCAGGGTGGGGGTTTGTTCAGTTAGGTTTGTTCAGTTAGTTCCCCTAACCCCAGGCTCAGAGGCAGTGGGGAGGGGCCTCCTGGAGCCACGCTGTCTTGAGGCCTCTTGATTTATGGCTACAGAAACTTGGGTGTGCCTCGCTCTTTAGGCCCCTACAACAGGAAGGTTTCTGTCATTTCTCTTTCCTGTGTGACAGTTCCTTCTGCCTCCCTCTCACAGCCCAGTGAGATGGCAGAGAGTATGAAGCGGTAGACATTATCCCGGATGGAAACCTCAGACGCACTGTCCCTGTTCTCACCACCACCTGGGCCCAGCTTGGCCAACAATTCCACGCTGAGTGGAATCCTGGACCTGAGCCCCGGGCAGCAAGGTGTACACTACCTACAAGTGGCTTCCAGAGGTCCCCACCCGCCCACTGGTTTGGCACAGTGCCTGTGACTCCCTTACTGAGACAGCCTCCTGCTCTGGTAAAGGCTTGTGTGGGGACAGAGCAGCCTGGCTAGTGGAAAGCACATGGCTCGGGGTGGTGGGGAGCTGGTTGTGAGCTAGGTGTGTAGCTCAGTTAGTAGGGCGCTTGCCTTCCATGCACAAAGCCCCGGGTTCAGTCCTCGGCGCTGCATAAGCCAGGTGAGCTGACGCACGCCTGCAACCCCAGCACTTGGGAGGTGAACCTCGTAAAGGAGGATTAGAACTGAAGGCCGTCCCCAGCCATCTAGTGTGCTTAAGGCCCACCTGGGCTGCACAAAGCCCTTTCTAAGTAATAGTAATAATCCTGGTTGGGTGGTTGACTGGCTGGCTGGTCATAGGTGTCTTCTCTTTCTCGCTGAGTCTTGAGTTTCTACAGCTGTGTGGTGTTACAAGGTCATCCCAAGGTCGAGTCTTGTAAGGGGCAGAGCCGAGTGGGGACAATCCAGACGCCATGTTTCAGGGCGTCTGCTGCTATTCCTGTGACCCTAACATAGTGAGCCAGTCAGGCCCATGTGACCTTGCTAGAAAAATTCTGGGACACCAGCAGAGCAGGGAACGTGCCACTTTCCCTTTGAGCTGGGCGGCCGTTCTCTCACAGGCCCCGTGTCCACTGACAATCATGAGTGCTTTGCAGGTGACCACAGCTGCACATTCCCAGCTGTTCTGCAAGCATGCGGTCCCCCGGGCTAGCGGCGGCGGCGGCGGCGGCGGCGGCAAGGATGCTGGTAGTTATTCACAGTCTCAGCTGCTCCAGACGGAGGGAATCAGAAAGTCTTGAGCTGCGCCCAGTTAACAGAGTACAAGCATGATGGCTTGCCCAGCACGCTGGCTTACCCAGCATGGTGAAGCCCTGGGTTCTAGTCTCAACAACCCATGAGCTGGACATGGTACCACACAGCTGTAATCCCAGCTCCTGGGAGGTGCAGACAAAAAGATGAGACACTGAAGGTCATCCGAAGATACTTAAGTTCGAGGCCAGCCTGGGCTGTGTGAGAGCCTTTCTCAAAACAAAAGATTCTTGGGGCGGACCCAGCAGTTGCATTTTAACGGAGCAGCCGTATCTGTTCTCCCTGGTTCAACCATGAGAGCGACAAGCCACTCCAGTGCTGGGTCCCTGGGAAGCTCCATCCTCTGGTTGTTTCCTCCACAAATGAAAATCAGCAGCTGTGCCTAAAGGGGGCAGGGCATGGACCACGCTTAGGCTCAGTGCCCAAAACATGCCCAGGGCACAGCAAAGACAAGATATCGTTGTCTTTTGTTTTTGCAGCAGGGTCCTACTCGGCAGTCCAGGCTAGTCTGGGATTGCAATCCTCCTGCCTTGGCCTCCTGAGTGCCGAGACGGTAGGGTGCCCCCCAACCCCAGTAGAGGTTCATCTTGCAATCATCATTATTCTCTGTACGTCTCCATCCCTTTCTTGAGCCCAAACATACAGTTTGACCCTGGGCTGCAATGCCTTGTATTTATCTGGGCATCTCAACACAGTGCCAGGCTTGCCCTGCCTCTGCCTGGCCACTCAGGGACCTACAATGTGTGTCAATTCGAAACACCGCTTCCTAGGACCAGGCTCTGCCCACCAGCTCTCTTGCTGTGATGTCCTGTCCTTCACTGGGGTTCCCCCTCCTCCCCCCCGGACTTGATAACCTGCAGGTCTTTGTGCCTCAGGACCACGACAGTTGGCACGCTGCGCTCTCTGGGAGTTACGTTTTCTGGAGTGTTGCCATGATGCCCCGTGAGCAGTGAGTGCCGAGACAGGACTCTATGGAAATATCTCAGAGGCCTTCAGAGGCTGGCCAACACTGTGGTGCTCGTGTCGGTGACGAGGGGATCAGACCCCAGGTCCGCAGCTTCTGTGTGGCAGCATTTGGCACTGATCTGTACCGGGGGCCCACTGCCCCCATGTTGCCCCGGGTGGTGGAGGAAGGAGTCTCACGTTTCTACGGCTGGCACCTCTGAACCCCTGACAGTGGCAGGAGCTACATCTGGGGGCCTTCTTCCGAGCCTGAAGGAGATGAGTGTGTGTGTGTGTGTGTGTGTGTGTGTGTGTGTGTGTGTGTATACCTGTGTACACATGCACAGTCACACGTATATATGCGGACACAGGTGTTCGTGTGCATTCACGTGGAGGCCAGATGACCTGTTTCTGTTTCTTTTTCTTTTTTTTAACCCGGGGACCGAACTCAATTTCTCGCACTTGCTCGGCAAGCACTTTAACCAAGCCTCCGTCCCCAAGTGACCCTCCTCCTCTCTCTGCCTGCAGTTTCAGGTCTGTGCGGCTGCTGAAGAATGACCCTGCGGGCTTCCAGAAGTTTGCTTACACTAATGAGGACGAGGCCTGGAAGACCTACCTGGAGAACCCTCTGACAGCTGCCACCAAGGCCATGATGAGGGTCAACGGGGACGATGACAGTGTTGCGGCCCTGAGCTTTCTCTACGACTACTATATGGTAGGCTTGGCCACCTCTGGCCACGTGCATGTCCGCTAAGTATGTCCCTGCTGTCTCCCTTTTCCTTTTCCCCTGTCTAACCCCTACTCTCATCCCAGGCCTCAGCCCAAGTGTCCCCTCATTTTTCTCACGGTGTGGGGAGCAGGGAGACTCTCCCGGGTCGCCATGCCATCTCACCAAATCTTCCCACCCTCCCCAACGCCCCTCTCCTGTGCCCACACCTGTCCATCTCACTGCAAGGCAGCTAGCTCCTGGACAGTGACCACACATCGTGACCATTGCTGAAACCCCAGCAACCCACACAGCCCGCCACCTGGCACACAGCACATATCTTTCCTCCAGCCTGTTTCTAGGCCTTTCACTCTGGGACTGCTGGTTCTCCGGCCTGGGTGTTGGGCCCTTTCCCCTCTGAACCAGTTATCAGTCGGAGATATGAACTCACAACATGCCATCCCCACCCCCTCCAGTGCCTGTGTCTGTGCCAGACATTGCTAATAGATTGCAGACTGCGTCCTCACGGAGGATGAGGCCTCGCTGTCTTTGCTAACCCAGAGATCTGGGCAGTTCTGTGCGTTTGCGTATCTGAATTGCCACAGAGAGCAATGCTGTCCTGCTCCAGTAAATGTGCGTGGATCTGTTGAGAGGACTGGCCCCGAATGTGGACATTCAAAGCCACCCTGTGCAGGGGAGGAAGGTGGGGTTGTTCGTCTGCTCTAATGTGGGGAGGAAGGTGAATTCTCTGCATGACTTCAGAGGCCCAGAGAGGCCAGGATGTATGGTTCCTGACAGAGAAGGCCCCAAGCTGTCTCTGGTCCTCATCTCAAGATAGCTGGGCTCCCCTGCCTGCTGTCTGCCTACAGACTGGCAGTCTCTGGATCCTGTCTAGCTCAAGCCAACAGAAGGGAATTTGAATGGCTACTCCAGCTCAGGGTCATGATGGAAGCCAGAATTCTCCATCCATCTTCAGATCCCAGCCTGGGGTTCACAGGGCGAGGTTGGATTGTAAAATAAAACCCAGTGTGTGAGGCCATTCCCAAGGCTGTGCTCTGCTAGATCCTGCTCTGAGCATCAACAGTTCTCTTCGAGGCTGCTCTAGAGGTGTTTAGTGCCTTGCCTGAGGACACACATGGCCAATAGTGGTAGATCTAGGATGAGACTCAAGAAATGGACTTGCAGTCTCTGCAGAAATGGGTTTGGAGCCTAGGTTCCTTGCAGCAGAGTCTCTGGCCCTTGGTCTCCCACCTAGATCATAGCAATGGTATTGATAGAAGCTCAGGGAAGAAGGAAAAGTTAAATTAGACAGCATTTGGTACAAGGTCTCACTTCTAGGAAGTGTCCTTTTTAACAGAGCCTCTGTTATCGTTTTGTTTTTATCTATAGCTTTAGAATCTCCTTGAAGTGTTATAATCCCCTATTTAACATTTGAAGAAATCAGGTCTGGGAGAGGTGCAGTCATTTATCCAAAGTCGCCTAGTGCTTTTGAAGTGGTGAAGCAAGCCAGCCAGGCTAGCCTGACTCCCACTTCTGTGCCCTCATCTAGAAAGCTCAAGGAAGGGCTTTCCACTCTGGAACTTGGGGTTCAGGCTCAGTCTCTGTGGTGCCTAGAGCTCCTGCAAGCTAGAAATACTCTGATTGTCTCCCAAGCATGCCAGGGCCTGGCCTCAGCCCCTGGAGGCTGATAGGTTCCCAATAGCCAGGCCCCAGCCAAGAGCCATCCATCACTCTCCTTCTTCTTCTCCCAGGGCCCCAAGGAGAAGCGGATACTGTCCTCCAGCACTGGTAGCCGGAATGACCAAGGAAAGAAGTAAGCTACTCGAGGCCACCTCTGCCTCTTTAGACCCTTACCTGTTCTGCTCCGCCAGGGACCCTTGAATGCTGGCTGGCTTTTCTGTTGAGCTTATGGGGCACAGTGCTGAAACCTGCAGCTCCTCTCGAAACTTCTGTATTTTAACTTTCTTTAAGATCAGAGGAATAATCCAGCCCGGAGTCTCCCTGTTTCTTCCCCCTGGATTCAATTAGGGAGGTTTCAGAACGACTGATATCTAGCTGGGAGTGCAGCTCAGTTAGCAGAGCGCTTGTCCACCAAGCATGAGGCCCCGAGTCCGATCCCCAGCACCACATAAAACCAGATATGCTACTGCAGGCTTTCATGCTCACCATCTCAGCATTTGAGAGGTGGAGGCAGGAGAATCAGGAGTTCAAGGTCATCCTCAGCTACATAGTGTATTTGAGGCTAGCCTAGGCTACAAGAGACCCCATCTCAAAAAAAAAATTACATCAGCAGAAGACTGTCGCTAAGTTATAATAAAGCTGTCCTTGAGCACACACACTCCAGACCCCCGATGCCAATACCACATGGCCTGGCATTTACTGCAAATACGCTTCAAAGCAGAAAAGCCCTAGAGGTGGTCACCGGACATTCTACCCCAGCCTCTGGACTCTTCCTGGAGCCACACCTTCAGCCGCTGTGTCCTTGCAGAAAGACTCCTAGGCTGAGCATGGCCTGCTGAGGCCTGGGGGTTAGGAAGGCGGAACCCTACCCTCTTCCTGCTCTTCTTCTCTCGTGGGCAATGGGGACCTCACAGAGGTCACCGCATCGGGCCGGCCAGTGGCTTCCGGAAAGTTCAAATGTCTAGGGTGCCACTGCAGCTCTCCCTGGGCCCAGTGTCAGCAAGAAGCTGGCCCGGGTCTTCCCCTGCGCTGCTGGAGTATGGTTCTGGGTGCGTGAGCTTCTTCGAAATGAATTCAGCTTCTCTGAAATGACTTCAGCACCCTTTCAGTCACGGGGGCCTGTTTCTTGCAAAATAGTCACCAGGAATGTATATAAAGTAAACAGTGAGAACTTCCGTGCAGTCCCATCCCTGCCCGCCCCCAACAGTTCCGAGTATGTTCCGGCCTGACCTTTTTCTGAATACATACCCACCTTCTCACAGGCACACGGCCCCCCTCCCAGGCACACCTCCCAGTACAGCTGTTTTGAAGTGGGGACATCTTGGCACGAGAGCATTTGGCTCGGAAACAAACGGCTAAACGGTCAATGTTTTGCACGAACTGGTCCTGTAACAGCTAAAGCTGGTTGTCCCCTCCGCCCAGAGCCTGGCTGACTACCCTTCCTCTCATCGCTGTAGACAGCTGGCCCGCTGCAGTCTCTCACGTGCTGGGAGGGCCTGCATCTGACGCAGGACACCACCAGTCCAGCCTGGAGAGATGGAGCGTGCTCACTTTCCCCGTCTCTCCCCCCAAGGTACTACCACAGCATGGACTGTGAGCCGGATCTCGCTCCCCTTGAGAGCCCCACGCACCTCATGAAATTTTTGACGGAGAACGTGTCTGGAAGCCCAGACTATACAGACCAGCTCAAGAAGAACAACCTGTTAGGCCTGGAGGGGACTCTACCCACCCCCGGCAAGACCGCTACCCTCCCGCCGGGTCCGAGCAAGCTGGAAGCCGGCTCCATGGACAGCTACCTCCTGCCCTCGGGCGACATGTATGACAGTGGCTCCCTCAGCTCCTTATTTGAGAGCATTCACGGGGTTCCACCCACACAGCGCTGGCAGCCAGACAGCACCTTCAAAGAGGACCCCCAGGAGGTGAGGGCCCGCCCCTGAACCCCTCCCGGCACCCCCGGATAGATGTATGCCTGCATGGGAGGCGAGAAGACAGTAAGAAGGTCAGAGCTTTGAGACCGATGGGGGCGAGTCTAGACCTAAGGCGGGGCTGCCACGTCCTGCTGTCCCAGCTGGTCACCGCGCAACCTGTGCGGCCGCTTGTGCAGCCCTGGGGCCGAGCCCTCTGCAGCCTGCACGTGGTCGTTTATTCTCTTGCGGTTGTGTTTCTCTGTAGTCGCTGCTCTTCCCCGATATCCTGAAAACATCGCCGGAACCCCCGTGTCCAGAGGATTACACGAGCCTCAAGAGGTAACTCGCTTTCCTAGGACCCTTCGTCCTTAGGGCAGGAATGCCACAGTGTCCCTCGAACATAGCAGCATTTCCGCAGCCTGTTCCTGGCCAGGGATGGGGCTGTGAACTAGCCCCTGTTAGAAACACACAGGCCTGCAATCTCAGCCCTTGAGAGGCAGAAGCAGGGGGCTTGCTGTGAGTTTGAGGTCACCATGAGCTTCATAGTGAGTCTGAGGCCTGTCTGGACTATACATTGAGTTCCAGACCAGTGTGGGCTCAGTTGTCCTTAGTACCTCATGACTTTGTCCCCGCTCCGGTTCTCCCTGGTTTCCTTTGACCCTTCTTTACTAAGCTAGAATATGACTGAATGCAGCCATTCAATAGGCCGTCCCAGGACAAGAAAATAGCTACAGCTGAGGCCCTACAGAAAGCCCCCCCCCCCAGACCCCGGCCCCATGTTCCCCAGGTACCTCTGCCTCACCATCCCCTGTCTCCCCACAGCGATTTCGAGTACACGCTGGGCTCCCCCAAAGCCATTCACATCAAAGCGGGAGAGTCACCCATGGCCTACCTCAACAAGGGTCAGTTCTACCCGGTCACCCTGCGCACCCCAGCGGGAGGCAAAGGCCTGGCTCTGTCCTCCAGCAAAGTCAAGGTGCGTGGGGCAGCTTGGGGAGGGGGCGGGGTGAGCGTCAAGGGGCTGGGGCTAAAGCGGACGGCTGGGCCATACTCCGGGAGGGAGCCTGGTGCCTGGGCCCCCGGACCAGGGTGACGAGACCCTCGGTGAACTTGCAGAGCATGGTGATGGTCGTGTTTGATAACGACAAGGTGCCCGTGGAGCAGCTGCGTTTCTGGAGACACTGGCATTCCCGGCAGCCCACCGCCAAGCAGCGAGTCATCGACGTGGGTGAGAGCGAACCCCGTGCCTCCCCCACCGCACCCCTTCCCTCTCCTACCCCAGACCAGACCCGGGAGGGCTCAGTGCAGGGGATCACTGATGGAAGCAGCAGCCGCTCCTTTCTGTTCTGCTCTGGGGTAGACGGGGCCGCGGGCCCAGGCAATGGCGGTGAATGGGCCCTGTGGTGTTGGCCACCGTGGGGAACAGCATGGAGCCGAAGTGGGAGGCTGGCTTGACCAACGTGTGGGAAGCCCTGGGTTGCGTCCCAAGCACTATGTAAAACTGGCGTGGTGACTCGGACTTGTAGTTCCTGTGCTTGGGAGGTGGAGGCCGGAGGAGCCGTTTAAGGTCATCTTGACTACACAGGCTTCAAAGACCCGTCTTAAAAGGGGGTGGGGGTCCTGAGCCACCTTCTCCCTGGACTACTCCAGCAGCTAGGGAGCCAGCCCAAGTTCTGTCCATCTTTTCTTTCTGCCTTTATGACCTATGTCCCTGTCCCTTCCTGTACCTCAGTTTACCTGACTGTCAAATGGCAGGCGGCCAGCTGCCTGGCTGTGTGCAGGTCAGGACTGATGGAGGACTTGGCTGAGAGGCTGGATGATGGAGCAATTGGGAGAATGGGCTTAAGAACCAGAGAGCGTGCTCCTTGCTCGGCCTTTTGTTAGCCCTGTGACCTTGGGCGAGAAACCCAACCTCTCTGAATAAAGTAAAGAGAGAATTAGGAAGCTTCGCTGAGGCTTGCCAGGTGCCAGCACGGCATCAATGCCAGCCGCCAGGGTCCACACACTCTGCTGTCCTCACCGCATTCCCTAAGAGACCTTCTATGTCCGGGATAAGCTAAGAACCACAGCTTGGGGGTAGGGATACGAGTTCTTGCCCCGAGTGAGGTTGGGTTCACAGCCTCCTCCCCGCCGCGCCCCCATATCTTTCCCACTGACACTCTGGTCTCCTACACTTTCAGCCGACTGTAAGGAAAACTTCAACACAGTCCAGCACATCGAGGAGGTGGCTTACAATGCGCTCTCGTTTGTGTGGAATGTCAACGAGGAGGCCAAGGTCAGTGCGGGCTTGGGTCGGGTGCCAGGGAAAGGCTTGATGGGCCCCTGGGCGGCACCCAGGAAGGTGGTGGCATTCATTGGCTCATCAGAGGCATGGGCCCGGGGCTGATGATCTGGGCTGCACCCAGCCCTTCCCCTCAAAAGGCATGTCACTGTGTCAAACTGTAGCCCCAAGTGACTGGTGGCGAGGGGGATCAGGTGACTGCTCAGCTCATCAGAGCCTTATGGGAAGGGGCTCAAAGCTCCAGGTGGCTTGCTGATGCCGTCTCAGACGTGGCAGGGGAGGAAGAAATGGCAGGGGAGACATTGGCTTCTGTGAGGCTTTGGGCTGTGGTGAGCTCCCACTCCCGTGTCTAAGAGGTCAGAACAAGGTACAGCCTTGGGGCCGGTGGAGCAAGACGCCAGGGAGAGGGAGATGCCACCGTTTCCTTCATGGCAGCTTGAAGCCCAAACCTGCTTCCCACCCAGGTGCCTGAGCCTGTCACCAGCTGGGCACTTACACCGTTTCTGTGCAGAAAGCTGTGAAAAGGGCATCAGCCTCGCCCTCAGGGGCTGGCTGACCTCTCTCTAGTTGTCCTTCCACACCCAGAACAGGCTCTGCACACCCACCGAGCCTGGGACCACTCATCCCAAAGGCATCTGTGGACCCCTGCCTCCCCTGGAGGGACTTAGAGAAGACATGGAGGAGACAGGGGCAGGCCCAGCTGGTGTGGTTGTTATTCAAACAGAGCTAGGGGCTAGAGGAGGAGCCTGCCAGTCATGGGAGGTGGGAGAGTGAGTTTCATGGGAAGGGAGAGGTGGGTTTCGGTGGGGATTTTTCTCACGGCCTTCATACCCCCAGGCCTGGGTCTCGGCACTAGCTGGGGGCCCGTGGAGGCTGCATCACAGCTGGGTGGGGTGAGAGGAGCTCCCCCAAAGCCTGTGATGGAAGGGGTCTGTGGAGATGTGCCTCCCGCCCCATCCCCACCATTCAGGTCAGGACTCTGTCAGAGACCAAGCCCAGACTAGGCCAGTAGGGTCTGGCCCTGAGCCTGCCAGGGTTGAGACAGGCCCCAGGCTGGCATTGAGACAACGTAGGCTGTCGGTAGACTTTGAACCGAATCCTCACCAGAGTTCTCCAGCACCCGTGACTGACAAGAATAAGGGTGAACTCTCCCAGGCTCGCAGGATGTGTCCACCTACCCCCATCTGTAGGTAAAACAGACGGGGTCTGAGGAAGCTCATACATCTGTCCCAGCCACAAGCTGGCAAGCTTCCCACTGCAGACCAGGGGGACCAGGTCCAGGCTCATGTACCCCAACTCCCTGGAGAACAGGCAGCAGCAATTCTGTCTCTCTTGGCCTCCATAGCTGTAGAATAGAGACAACCTGGGTGGCCGCTGGCCACAGATGGCACCAGACTACCTGAATGGAAGGTGCCCAGATCCCGTGCTGGCTGTCGTAATTGGTCATTAGCGTTAAGGGGCTGTGTCACCTTCTGTGTGCCTGTGTCAGCAGGAAAGCTGTGTCCCTAACTTGCTTCAAACTGTAGAGACGTAAACCTTCAGATTGACAGTCCTCAAAGAACCCTTAGTCCTCCCAGGGTGGGACACCCTCAGGAAGCCAGAAAGGGGACACCAGCCTGGCTCTACCAGCACCCCTTCCTGTCTGTGAAAGGGAAGCGGGTGGTGACGCCTGCCTGCAGGGCCCAAGATGGCTGAAGGGTATTCACTGAACACTGAGCTCTGAGTAGACCACTTATCCGGCTCCCCACTCTGTCCCCAGGTGTTCATCGGTGTCAACTGTCTGAGCACTGACTTCTCCTCGCAGAAGGGGGTGAAGGGTGTCCCCCTGAACTTGCAAATCGACACCTATGACTGTGGAGCGGGCACCGAGCGCCTGGTACACCGTGCCGTCTGCCAGATCAAGATCTTCTGTGACAAGGTGGAGTGGGGGAGAGGAGATACTGCCAGGTCTCTGGGAGGCCTGTCCCGCTCTGCCACTCTCTCTCTCCGTGTGCTCATCCCTTGCTTAGTATGTCCTCACATCTGTGTTTCTGCCCCTTCTGCAGGGTCTGTAAGTCTGGCTCTGTGACTCCTCTAACCCTCCTCATTCCTCTCTCTCTCTCTCTCTCTCTCTCTGTCTGTGTGTGTGTGTGTGTGTGTGTGTGTGTGTGTGTGTAAGCTTTCTTCTTCACATGTCTCAAGATCTGACCTGACTTTAGGGAGACTGGGCCTCATGCTGGTACCTTCCCATTTCCGACTCTCCCTGTAGTCTGGCCCTGTGTTTAAGATGCAAAGCAGCCGGTGTAGACCTGGCTAGCCCCTCCCTCTGGCCCCTGCTGAGCAGCACCTCTCTTTGCAGGGAGCTGAGAGGAAGATGCGTGATGATGAGAGGAAGCAGTTTCGAAGGAAGGTCAAGTGCCCAGACTCTGGCAACAATGGTCAGTGGACAGTGCACAGGGTGCCAGCTGGAGTGGGCCAAGGGGAGGAAGGCCAGAGAAGGTGGGCAGGGGTTTGTAAGAAGGGACCTCGAGGCTCAGTGGTGTCTTTTTTCCCAGCAGGCATCAAGGGCTGCCTGCTGTCAGGCTTCAGGGGCAATGAGACCACATACCTACAGCCCGAAGCTGACCTGGAGACCCAGCCCGTGCTGTTCGTCCCCAACCTGCACTTCTCTGGCCTGCAGCGCCCAGGAGGGGTGAGAGCAGGGCAGGTGGGAGAGGGATGAGGACGGGTCCTGGATCCACACTATTAGGGGCTTTACTTGCTACCATCACAATGGCCCATTAGGACGTTTCCTGGTCCTGCTGTTTAAAAGCTAGAAGAAAACTGCTTCTGTTGAACCACAAGGGGTTCAGAAGTGACCAGGGACCAGGAGAGTATGAAGTCTCAGGGACCTGTCATGAGGGAAGAAGCAATGGAGAGTCTCTCTCCATCAAACCTTCTGAGCTTGTGCTCACACGGAAGAGGTTCACTGGAGCCACGTCTGGGCTGGGTGGCTGGTCTCAGGCACAGACATTATGAGAACCCAGCAACCCTACAGCAGCGTCTTGACCCTCACTGCACTCCCACGAGTTAACCATATTGGGACTGAGGGTCAGGATGGAGGCACATCCTGAAACCACATAGTCAGAATTTGGGCCAACTCAGAAGATCAAAATCCGGGTGCCGTTGGCCACTGGCTCCTCTGCCTGACTGGCTGGTGGTGCCAGCCCTGAGTGCCTACAGCCAGGAGGCACTAGGCCTGAACTTGGCTCTGTTATCTCTCTCATGCATAGCCATCCTTCGTGGGAAACCAGTCTGTTCCCTTTGCCAGACACGGCCAAGAGCCGGCCTCGCTTCTGTCTGCTTCAGTGTCTACTAGCTGGCCACTTCCTTCCCTTGAAGGCCCAGCTCCACGGCTCCCTGGGGGCAGGGAGATCGGGCCAGGGTACCTAAGCGCTTGGTGTCTGACTTGGGAGGAGTGTCACAGAGAGCCACCGGCACAGAGTAGGTCCGACATACCCGCACACCTAGCCGATCCTTTCCCTTCTCCTGGAAGCACGCTGGCAGCCTTTGCCGTCTCTGCAGTGGCATCAGCCTTTCTCTACCTGTTCCGTCTGTGACCTGAGGCCTCCGGAAGGAGGATGCCTGGCATCCTGGGTAGGCAGCTGTTCTGTGGGAGACCAGTGTCGGTACAGAGTGAGGAAGAGTTGGCCCTGGGGAAAGGAATGGAGCGCAGTGTGGCCCTGAGTCATCTTTTGCCCTCTCTGGGCCTGGGTGCTCACCACAGAGAGCCTCACAGGGGATGCCCACTGGACAGGGCAGTAGCAGTGGCAACAGACATGCAGCGTGCTCGGGGACAGCGCTCCAGCTTTGTCGTCCCCTTATCACTTGTCCCCAGCTTCGGGCACAGTAACTGCAGCTCGCTGCCTCTGCCAGTCCCTGAATCCCCAACTCAACAGCCCCAGCTGGACAGTTCCTCCTGACTTAAGACCCCAACTCACTTAGGTATTCCTCTGTGCGGGACAGGGAAGGCTCTAATGTGATACCCATCCCCCTTCCTTCCTGGGCCTGACCAGAAATATCTGTTCTCTTTGTTGCAGGTTGTCCCCTCAGCAGGACACAGCAGCTCTGACAGGTACAGAAGCAGCAGCCAGGGGTCCTGTCCTTATCCAATCCCCGTCCCCCTCACAAGGCCTCCTGTCCTTTCTCCCTGCTGCCTGGAGCCAGGCCTGTGTCCTCCCTGCCCACTGAAACCGCCTGGGTTTTTATGGGCTTGCCTTACATGGAAAGTTGGCAAGTCTCTGGCGAGACACTTGCTTGTAAAAAGTAAAGGCAGAGAGAAGCCTCTGAGGTGCGGATACACACTCGGAGAGCACAGGGCAGCTATGCTAGACACCCCTCTCCCAACACATCACCTCCAGAGGCCGGAACAGACACCCACGCCCTTCCCTCTGTCAGACGCCCTTCCCTCCGCCCCAGCAGCTGTGGGGGACCCCCGAACGTGTTGAGGGCGAGGCAGAAGGGCAGGGCGGCATGAGTGTGCGGCCCTAACTGGCTTGGCTTTGCTCACAAGCCGTCTGCTGGAATCCATTCTCCCCTATAAACAGCGTGTATATTTTATATGGGGCTTTTGCTCCAAATTCTCTCTCTCTTACCAACTCATCCCAGCCCTGGCAGGTCAGACAGGCAGAGTCATGGCTACCCTCTAATGAGGAAACCAGGGCTCAGAGAAGGGATGTAGCTTAATTGTATTCATCCAGCTGTTAAGTAGCAGGGACAGGACTTGAACCAAAGCCGGTCTCCCTCCAGCCCCCCAGCCCCCACTCCTCCTTGGCTCTACCCGTCCTTGGCTTCTAGAAGATACAATGCGGGTGCTGCTAACAGTCCACTTTGATTAAGGCCGTGCATGTCCCCTGCCACCTCCTATAGCATCACAGTTCTTTCCGTGCCCTGCTTCTCAAATGCATCCTCTAAGGTCAAGGAACCCAGCCTCGAGTGCTGCCAGACCTGCACCCAGCCTTAGGACTTCACCTTGATGCCAGCACTTTGTTATCCCTTCATGGGGGTTCTTTGCCCGCTGGAGGAACAGCTAACCTCACCAGCCTCCCTCTGCTGTCCCCCACAGGCTGCCCCTGAAGCGTACCTGCTCACCCTTCGCTGAGGAGTTTGAGCCTCTTCCCTCCAAACAGGCCAAGGAAGATGACCTTCAGAGAGGTAGGCCGAGCCCTGGGGGTCCCTCAGAGCCCTCCAAAAGGCCCCTAGAGCCTTCCCAGAAGCCCCACGCACCGACCCCATGAGGCCTTCCATGAGGTTTTCCTCCTTCTCCAAAAGGCCTGGTTTACTCCTTGGAGTGTGTTTAAGCCAAGTGTGCTTAGGGGGTGGCTCAGAACATCCCTGGCCTTAGACAGATGGCCACAGACATGGAGGATGTGGCTTTGAGCCTGCTTGGACATGTCTATCCCAGAGCAGCTGGCACCAGTGACAAACCTTGGGCTGGGAGAGACCCACACTTATCTGAGTGGAGAAGACTTGGGTGGGCTCCTATGTCCACTTGCCTGGCTCTGACACCCTTAAGTCTGCGACTTGGGGGAGAAGGCACAGAAGCACCCAGAGGCTTAGGTGACCTTAGGGAAGGACCTACCAGCAGCCAACATCAAAGGCTCCAGCAAGTCAGGGACCAAGCTTGGCAATGCACTTGGGGTTTCCGAACACAGCCCCTGATTCCTGCTCGGAAGTAGGGGTCAAGGACACCAACTTACATACAAAGTATTGCTCAATGGTGTTGAAATGACCCTTCCAAGGTCACCAGCTGCTGTGCAGTAGAGCCAGACCCAAGATTCAAACTCCCGGCAAAGTCAGGGTAGTGTAGAAAGTGCTGGATGCCAGCTCAGCCTGCGTTAAGGTCATGCCCTTTGAGGCCCTTCTCCATCCCTTGAGATCCTCCCGTGCTCAGTGTCCTCTGTTCCCCCTTGGTTTTCAGTTCTGTTGTATGTGAGGAGAGAGACAGAGGAGGTGTTTGATGCGCTTATGTTGAAGACCCCGGACCTGAAGGGGCTGAGGAATGCGGTAAGGGGCCTCTTCCCACCGGAGGGCTCTGGTGGTCTGCTTTCCCACCCCAAAGGGGGCTGGGGCCCCGCTCAGGGTGCGCCTCCCGATCTTATCGCCCTGTCAGAACCCTGCCCCGCCCTGAGAGTCACACACACCATAAATCCTCCTTAATCTGATGGCTGCTGTCTGACAGCCCAGGGCTTTTGTTGGCTTTGCAAACCTGTTTCTGTTTTAATGGGAAAGAAAAGCCCCACACACAGAAAGGCCAGGCCCAGAGAGGCTCATTTTTCCCTCCTAGGGGGCCTCATTCCTCCTGCTCTCAGGACTTGGGGGTGGCTGAGGGCAGGACTGTATCTGGGCAAAGAGACCTTCCCCTACCCCAGCCATCTGAGAGCAGGCAGGACAGCCCAGCCTGGACAAGCGCATGGCACCGCTGGCCACCAAGGTCACCGGGGCCTTGGACTTGAAGGTGATTAAGACTGTAGTGAGGGAGACTCTTAGCAGCCTTGATGGACCACTTAATGGAGACCCATCCACCAGGCGTTTTGCATTGCCATCCATGAACGCCTCCCTTTCTCCACTGGGCACTGTTTAGCATCACCTCACTCTGAGAGGCCAGGGACTTGCCAAGGGTGGTATAAGTGCCAGGCCAGCCCAAGCTCTCTGCCCTCTGGGCTGCCCGAGCTTGTAATGTATTGTCGGCATGCTTGCTGTCAGCCCCAGGAAGCTGGGCTCACAGAATGTCATTCAAGTCCCTTGAACACAGATACAGTCTCCAGGCTAAGCAGCAGTGTGCCGGATTAGCTCGGCCTGCATCTTTCTTGACTTCCCCGTTTCCAGGGGAGAGGAGCTTCCACTTCTCCAGACAGCCCATGCCACCTCAGTCCAGTTTTCCTCCAAGGGCTTCCGTAGACAGACTTGAGATCTTCTCCCTGGCAGCTTCTGGCTACGCTGCCATTGAAATAAAACCTAGGGACATTTTCTAGTTCGCAGGGATCCGGAATACCCAGAGAGGACCACCCGCCACTGGTATCCCAGGCCTGGGCCTAACTGCAGCCTCATTCCACTAGGCATCAGCATTTGACTGAGCTCCTTTCAGAGCCGTTCTATGTATCTCCATCCTATTAGCACACCCACTTCACAAAAGTGAAACTAAGAGAGACAGGAAGGCTGTTCCAACTCCTGAAGCTCCCCGGGGGTGGTGGAGCCCACTCCAGCATTCCAGAACAGAAGTGGGCAGATCTCTGTATGTTTGAGGCCAGCCTGGTCTACATAGTAAGTTCTAGGACAGCCAGGGAGATAGAGTGATCTGCCTCAAACAACAGCAAAAAGTTATGCAGCTCCAGTGTGGGGCAGGGACCACGTGCCTGGGTCCAATCAGGCTCCTCAGCAACCTCGGAGCCGCAGCTGCCTCATCTGTAGAGGAAACTGCCACGTGGATGTAATGGGCCTTAAGGCTCTGAGCCAGGCTTGGGTGCTACCCCATCAACTGCAGTGACCAGCTCCTGCCCAGGAGAGGAACACAGGGGTCACCTCACCTCACTGCAGGGTCGGGAGTATGCCCACTTCTCCCAGGACAGTGACATGGGGGCTTTGGTCTGTAGCAATCAAGTCATTTAATTCTTTCAGCAGTCCTCTGGGGTGGACCTGCTGGCTGTCCCCACAAAGATTCTGCATAAGGTCACCAGCCAATGACAATAGATCCCTAGGCACGGATCCCAATGTCAGACACTAGATGAGGACCAGGGCAAACAGCAGATGCGCAGCCAGCTATTTCATAGATGCTAAAGTGCAGTTCGATGAGTGTTTCCTGTGATTGGACTAACTATAAGGGGATAGAAAATGGTATCAGACCCCCTAGGTATGGTGTAACTCTGTGAACACTCACAGAGGAGAAGGTAACACCCAGGGGCCAGTGATGTTCGCCTCAGGGAAACAGGACCATTGTAATTCTCTTCGCTTTCCCACAGTGCCAATATTACTTTTATAACCATCACGTAAAAGAGAGTGGTACAAAGTGTGAATAAATCCGTTATGGCCCCGGGCAGAGAAACACTACCTTTTCCCTTCCAGATCTCTGAGAAGTATGGGCTCCCCGAGGAGAACATTTGCAAAGTCTACAAGAAATGCAAGCGAGGGTAAGTGTGGCTTCAGCCCTCCTGTCTGTGGGCTACTCAGAACCACCACGGCTGTATGCTTGGCCTTGGTGGGGTCGCACGGAGCATGCTCAGTGAGGGTGATGAGTCCCTCAGTGAGGCCAAGGCCATGGTCACCTCTCCCCATGCAGAAACCAGGATGAGGGTGGCGGGGAGGTACAAGGGTCTTCTCACAAGTGACCCTCCTGGCATAGAGAGAGAGTGAGGGGTCACTCATCAGAAGACCCAAGTTCAAGTCCCCAAACCACCAGAGAACAAAGATCTTTTCTCACTCTTGGGTCATTCATTGTAGCAACCACTGTTCACACAGACTAAGCTCGTCTTGTTAAACCCCCCCTCGTCACAGTGGCAGGGAGGTAACGAGACCCACATTTCACAGGTAGGGAAACCGAGAGTCGAGAGTCGGAGGTGATAAGCAGGGGCGGGAGCAGGAGCAGTGAGCAAAGGCCCAGGAGGTGAGAAGGCCCAGGAAGGCCACCCCAGGCAGAGTGTGTGTGGCCGGAAGGAGCAGCTGCCGTGAGCCTAAGAGAGAATTGGATTAGGGCTTAAGTTGAAGAGCCCAGTTAAAGAAGCTCCAATATTCTCTTCCGCTGCCAGGCTGGAGCCGGCAGGAGAGAAACAGGCCACACCCTCCGGGACCTGCCAGTCTTCCAAGCTGCTATGCCTAGAGCACAGCTGGCTGCCTCTAGACCCTCTGACCCCAGCTGCACCTACACGTGACCCACGTGTGTTCTCCCATCGAGAAGGCCTTGCACCATAAAGCCCATGCCCAGGCCTGGCTCCCTTCCGCCAGCCCAGCTCACCTTACCCTATTTTGGCTCCCAGCTTAGCCTCCAATGCAAAAGGCTGGACTGTAGGAGCCATTTGGTTTGGGTTGCGTGAGACTCTAGAGGGTTTTGTCTGTGTGTGGGGTCTCCCCTCCCACCACCCCCATCTCCACCTCCCACCAAGTTTCGGTTTCATACAGAGGCTCACACACTGTCTGCAGTCGACTCTGCTTCTTGTCTGCTTTGCCCAGACAAGCCCGGCCCCGCTTCTTCAGCGCCACAGCCACCTACCCTGCTTCCTGCCCCTCTTGTGCAGGGCTCCCCTGAAAACCCTACCCCAGGCCAGGCTGAGGGGCCAGGGATATCCTTTGTGTACGATGGGAAGCTGATGAGCTTTGAGGAGCACACCTCTGCCTCCTGGCTCTTTCGCCAGAGGCCTTCCCGTCAACTCAGGCAGCTGCACAGACTGTAATTGTAATGGCTTCCGTCACGGAAGCTCTTCTTCCCTCAGGCCAGATGCTGTCCTCCGTGATGCCTGGCATCATCTCGTCGGCCTCTGAGCTTGGTGGGAATCTTCCCTGTTCCTACAGACAAAGGAACTGAGGGTTCCAAGTAGCGCTCCTAAGTTAGGGACTGGCAAAACAGATTCTCAGTGACCTAAAATGCCCACCACCACCACCGATGCCCCGCCCTCCGGCACACACACACACAGTTTGATCAGCCCCTCTCCTTGTTCCTCTACCACTAAGAAATATGCAAATAAAGCCTGTGGCAGGCCAGCTTCTTCCTTTACCCAGCACAACAGGCCAGGACATCATTCCATAGCCCCCATGGCATGAAAACCTCAGCCCAAAGATGTTTTACAAGGTCTGAAAGAGTGTATTTCCAAATTTGAATCCATTCAAATATATGTCCACATCAGAGAAAGGTGGACATTTTAATCCAAAGCCTAGTTTATTCTCACAAATCCTCACCAAAGCCCTCCGGACCAAGGTAGATAAAATCGATTTTACAAGCATGATGGAGTGCTTGAAAGATTAACCAATACACTGTTTTTGCTGGCAGCAGGCCAGAGGTTTAACTCATGCAGGCAGAAGAGGTTGGAAGCTAGGAAGTGACAATAGCTCTTGACAAGCCCCTGCCTCTGGCTCAGGACCCAGCTATGGCTGCCCACATTCACACCGCTGCCTGGAGGCATTCGTGCGTGGCCCAGTACCCGGAAGCTGGTTGATGCTACTCTCTGGGACAGACAACCCAACCCTGAAGTTAGCAGAGCACAGCCTCTCTCCTCCCCATCCAGCCCTGCTCTCTGGCTCGTGTCCAGTCCCCAGCCTCTAAGACAAAGATCACCCGGGAAGTCAGGGTCCTGCCAGCCCTCCCCCTGCCCCACCCCCATCCCTGGGAGCCCCAGCCTTTTTTTCCCAAAAGAAGCTGCTGCTGGCTGGTGCTGACATAGATGCCAGGGCGTAGACCATGGGCTTCTTCTGCTTCACTGCTGTCCTCACGGCCCTTCTGCAAGTTGTCACAAAAACAAGCATCTACTGAGCTCATGGCCAAACATGGATTTTTGGCTTCCTTCTGTCTCCCACTTGCTAACATCCTAACTTGTATTTAGGATTTGTGGCTCTTTTTCTTTACCCTGAAAACTGATATCATAGAAACACAAAGGTCTAGATTAAAACCTGAGCTCTGCCATCCACTAACTGTGGCCACAAAAGAATAACTTTATGTCTTTGAATGGCAGCTTCTCCGTTCTATGAACTGGAGTGGCATAGTTGTAAGAACCCAGTCTCCCTTCCTGGGTGAAATTCTGCATACAGACTTCAGGTTCAGTTCATCTCCATTGCTTTTGGAGCAATGTCCGGAACATGAAAGGGTCCAGCAAAGACTGAGGGATGAGAGATGAATGGATATATGGAGGGCAGATGGATGGGTGGGTGAAGGAAGGAGATGGGGTGGGATGGATGGATGGATGGATGGATGGATGGATGGATGGATGGATAGGTGAAGGTGCAGACGGGTAGGTGATATGTAGTTGGATGGATGATTAGTGGATGGATGGATGGTCAGATGAATGGATGGATGGATGATGATGGAAGAATGGTTGGTTGGATGAACAGATGGATGGATGGATGGATGGATGGATGGATGGATGGATGGATGTAGAGATGGTAGGAGCTATATTATGTATTGATGGGTGGGTGGGAGAACAGATAAATGCATGGACAGACAGATGGATGGATAGATGGATGGATGGTTGGTTGGGTAGACAGATGGGTGGATAGGTGAATGGATGAATAGATGGATGGACAGAGAAATGGATAGATGGTTCAGTATATATACCCAATTCTATTACCTGCTCAGAAGCTTAGCAGAGAAATGGACAAAGTGAACCTCAGGTCACCTTCTGGGTGACTTTTCATCAGGGAGCCAGCTCTTACAGGGTACCCTTGGCATAAACTTTGACTTTGACCCTTTCAGAGTCCATAGCCATGGTTACTTCTTGAGCTTCGAATCCCTGCCTTGAGAGTGGGGGCTGCAGCCCCCCAGTCTATTTTATAACCCCCTTGAGATTCAACTTGGCAGGTGCCGACTGAAAGGGGTGTTTTATGGCCCAACCTCTGGCTCAGACAAGCATACCTGAGCGGCTCAGTGTAGCCATTTGTTAAACCTAGACTGTCACACCTCCTGAACTTACAGTCCGAGCCCCCAGTCTAATGACTGAGAACACAACCTCTCCCAGAGTTGCATTTCAGTCAGTCAAGAACATTCACGCTGAGCTCATGAGAAGGAAGCAATCCCCCGGTGGGGCACCAGTGTGGCTGGCAGGCCAGGGTTTGGGCTGAGACTGGGCCACCGGAAGTGCCCACCTCACAGCCGGATTTTGTAGGTCAGGGGAAGCTACTGAGGTGCTTGCAGGCTCATCAGTCTTGCTCCTCAGAGGGCCAGGGCATGGGGCCTTAGCACGCTGCAGCCAAGTCTCCCTCCTCCCTCTTCCAGGATCCTGGTCAACATGGATAACAACATCATCCAGCATTACAGTAACCACGTGGCCTTCCTCCTGGACATGGGAGAGACGGACGGCAAGATCCAGATCATCCTGAAGGAGCTGTGAGGGCCGAGCCGCAAGCCGGCCGTCCCCGGGGCCCAGGCTCACACCACGTACGACCTCTCCTCGCATGTCAGCACTGTTACTTGAAACGCCTTTCTCAGGGGAAGAGGTCTTGCAAGCCACAAACTTGGTGATGTCAGGGCCAGGGAGGAAGCAAGGAGATCCAGGATCTAAATGCCCTGTCCAGGCTTGAACTCACCTCGGAGCTTCCTGCAAGTACCCACCCACCGGAGACCAGGAGTCTGGATCAACACAGACCCAACTGTCGGCTTTCTCTTCCAACTCCCTCCTCAGAGACCCTACGGGGACCCACCACCCTCTCCGCAGGGCCATCCCCACTGCCTTGACGGGTTCTGACCCTCATTCTGTATCCTTCCAACTTCAGACCAAAGAGTTCTCGCTCTTTGGCCAATTAACTTGAAAATTCTTTTTTTTTTTTAACTTGAAAATTCTTGACTGTCAGAGCAGATGCCTTTGTGAGGAAACGCTTCCTCACTGACTCCCTTGGGTACAGGACCTTAAGGCATCGCCATGGAGCTGACAGGAGCAAATACCCTTGCCACTACTGTTGTACACATTTCTTATTTACAGTTTTCATTATGTGATATATATATATATATAAAAATATATATATTGTGTATATATATGTGCAACATTTTGTATGTTCATGTTACGTTTTTATCATTTCAAAAATACGTATTTCATATTTCTTGGACTATTTTTTTAGCTGCTATTTGATTATGCGTTTTGTATATCATAGGATTTAGTAATAAAAGCCTACCTGTGCACACTTTCCTAGCTTGTACTCCTTCCTTCTGTGAGCCTCCAGCCACGAGAGGCTCAAGCGGAGGCAGCCCTTCCTCGTTCTCATGGTGGCCTTGTCCCAAGGGCACTCGTGTCCCATCCTTGAAGGCTGGGAATGAGTGTGGAGCCGTGAGCAGAGGCACGCACCCCGACCACACCTCACCAGGTGGGCTGTCGTGAGGAGGCTCCTCGAAGCTGAGAACAGAGCCGGAAAAGGTTCACAGCGGCAGCGATGAGGCCCCACAGCTAGGCCCGGGGACAGAGACCTGGGCCAGCACTGCCCCTACTCTCCAAGCTGCCACTTTCACTAGATCCAACTCCATCTGGCCCCCAAAGCCAACCACACATCACTTCCAAACAGCAGCGACCTCACATTGGAACCTTGTAGACAGCCACATGTGAGTGTCTAGGCTTCTGGGGCAGAGGACGGAACTAAAACCGAGCCTTGAATCCTCCAGGGAATAGATAAAAAAGAAGGCCTTCTGGCCCCCTCCCTACCTCCCTTCTCGTCTTCTTTTCCACCGCCTCATCTACTCTATTTCCCTAGCGATAATGCTCACAGTGTGGTCCTCTCTGGTCTCAGCTGTCGCCGAGGACCTAGGCTTCCCAGGACATGGGGAGGGACGGCATCCCTGCCTTAGTCCCAGAAGCTCTGCTTCCTATGAATTAGTTTTTTGCCTGTCGGAATAAGACTTTTCAAAAATTTTACGTGTGGGAGTGTTTTGCCTACATGCACGTCTGCGCACGACCCCGGCCTTGTCTGTTTTTAAAGTTTAAGAACCAAGTCTCCTTAAGGACATCCCAATTCCAGCAGATTCCATGGTCAGATATCACAAGCCCTACCTACACTCAGCACCCAGAGGCAGGCTGCGCAAGTACCATGACAAGGACAGGGTCCCAAAGGACTCAGCAAAGCAGTTAGGTGATGCTTTGATGCATTGGGAGAGAGTTGTTACTATTTTCATTGGTTGTTACTGGGCAGGGCCTCACTGTGTGGTTTAGGTTAACCTTACACTCACTACCCAGAACACTAACCACCATACCCAATCTGAGACCCTTTTAAAATTAAGGCCAAAGACCCTCGGATGAACAGTCCCAAGATTTTAAAGACAGGCTCTGCCTTAGTGACGCTTCCTCGTGCTTCAGCGTGGTTGGCGTGGTCCTGCTCGGGGCTGCATCCCCCCTCCCCCCAGTCAGACTTCCCTGCTTCTGGGATGCCGCACTGTGCTTCAGAGCGAAGTCACGCCTGTGAAGGTGATAGGACAATAGGGCGAAGCGACTGACTGGACCACGAATACCCTAGGCCTCCGCGTCTGTTGAGAGCTCCTTCTTAGCCTCCTGCCGAGCTTCTGCCCAGAGCGAGGACGACACCCAGGCAGGGGTTTGAGGTGCTGGTAACCTCGCTGGCCTGTCGGAATCACCCGGGCAGCCTTTGCCCCTGCCCTCTCCTCTAAGTCGGCATTCTGGATGAAGGTCTAGGCGAGTTCCCTAGGTGATCATAGTGTGCAATCAAGGCTGAAGATCACTGTCCCGAAGAGGCACTGATGCCTTTGGCTCTCTGTGGCACATGTGCACACGGAATCGGTGGCCTCGGAGCACACCCGCTGCAGAGCACAGGCCACGTGCTGGCAGCTTCTGCTCCCTGTGTATCTATCTACAGCCTCCAAGCAAGACACCGGAATAGAGATGAGGGTTCTCAAGAACTAGTTTCCCAAGAACAGTGTTCTACAAGCTTCGAAAAGCTCATCCCTTCCATTAGAGAAAGTCAGGAGGGCAATTGCAAGTCTGCCATTTTAGGAGGAACCTCCTAGGAAGGCCCTCCAGGGCCTTCTGACACCTCTCACTTTTGGAGGACAGAGAGAGCTCTGTCTACAGGTAAGAGGAGGCGATTTAAAGCAAGAGCATGGGGGTGAAGGGGCAGAAAGAGGGAGGGAGGTGTCCTATTACAGTTCCTATTGTCATGAGCAACACCATAACCATGGCTACACGGGAAGGAAGGGGTTTATTCGGTTCACACTTCCACATGACTGTCCATCACTGGAGGAAGTCAGGACAGGAACTCAAACAGGGCAGGGACCTGGAGGCAGGAGCTGATGCAGAAGCCATGGGGGGGGGGAGGCGCTGCTTACTGGCCTGCTCCATGGTTCGCTCACCTTTCTTTCACACAGAACCCAGATCTCCAGCTTACCGCCAAGAGTGGCCCCACCCACAGTGGAACAGACCCTCCCCACATCAATCACGAATTAAGAAAATGCCCCCTACAGGCTCTGCCTGCAGCCTGATCTTCAGGGCGGTATTTTTCTCAACTCTAGGTTCCCCGTTTCTCAAATGACTCTAGCTTGTGTCAAGTTGACACAAAACTAGCCAGCACAGGAGGAGTGAGGGGAGACAGGGATGAGGAGAGGGAAGGGGGAGAATTAAAAGATGGATGAATCAGCGAAAGAAGCAAGATGAAGGGTGAGTGTGGGATCAGACCTAGCCACTCGAAGCATGGCTCTTGGGTACACAGCCTTGACAGCAGCTTCCGCCCAGCCCGCCCAGGACCAGGAGCCTCCAGCCCAGCCATGCGCAGCCTGGGGTCACAGGGACCTGGATGGAATCCCTGGATCCTGGGTTCCTTTGGATCCAGCCCTACTGTCAAGAACTGTGACCAAGCACAGGTGCAGCTTCAAGTTCTGAGTGTCGGCTCCAGTCTTCTAGAACAGCTCACGTGGCTGTAGATGACTGAGAGCCTGCCCAAGAGTCTCATTTGACCCAGATAAAAAGTTAGAATTCAACTATAGCCATCCAGGAAGATGTCATGGCGAAACAGATCCTCTTAAAACCCCTGTGCCTTTGACAGGACACTGGCAAGCCGGGTGTGACCCAGCTCACACCTGACCAATCCCACTCGTACACCTGAAGGTGTAGACTTTGAAGCCCTGATTCCAACTGAGTTCTGTCCCCGGAGGAGAGCCGATGATCAGAGCAGGAACCCAAGGCCAGAATCCCCTGGGCTTCCCAGGGTTTCCCAGGCAACCTTGTCGGTCCAAAGCCCTGACCTGCGGGAATCGGAAGTTCACAAATAGCCCAGCTTCTGAGAATCAAGAATTCCATTTAATTGAATAAGTTTTTTCATTCCTTCCCTCCCTCTTCCTCATGCCTCGCTTCCCTCCCCCCGGAGAGGAAAGCCAATAAGGCAGCCAGTCCGGATGGGAGGTCCGGGATGCACAGTTCCCAGAGCATGTCAGGGAGGCGAGTAGCCCCCTGTGGAAGGGGGAGTGGAAGGGAAATGGGGGTGGGGGTGGAGGAGGGAAGGGGAGTCCGAGAGGATCCCATTTAGGAAAGTGGCACACATTATTAGCACCTGGGGAAGGAGAGGGCGTGTGGTCAGTTTAATTTCACCTTGGCTCTTGGTCAGCTCTCCCCCCAGCTACGGCAGGCAAGCCACGGTTAGAAACACCATCCATCCAACATAGTTAACTGATGCACACTCAGAATTAGAGTGTGAAGGCGATATGGCGACAGAGGCCAGGCAGAGCAGAGCCAAGGTTGGGGAGGTGAGGACATGAAGGCAAGGGACACAGAGGTCCTCCCTGCCCTGGGGACTCTGGTTCCAGGCCTCTAGCTCCAGCCAGGTCCTGCCTTGCCTGCTGATGAATCCAGAGTCTGTACGGTCATGGGAGTGATGAGCAGTTCACGGCCAGTTTCCATGTTCTTGCTGCGTAATAACAACGCTGAGGGCAGCAGTGCCCAGGGAATATCCATGTGCCTCGGTTGTGGACACATCTGTGCCTTTCTGCCTCCCAGAGGTCAGAGATCAGGCCTCAGCACCTTGGCTGAGTTGCTTTTACCACAGGCTGCCATGGCAGGAGGCTGGGACGCGACGTCACAAATAGTGCTCCAAGACCCCTTAACTCTGGGGAGTGGAGTCACGGGAACCAGCTTGGAGGCAGACACGGAGGTAGCCAGAGAGCTCTGCCCATTCCTTCTCTCTGCTTGGAAAAGCATGGTAGGGACGGAGGGTGGTCAAGTCCTTACAAGGCAGCTCCAGACGGTCTGCGACCCTGGGCTGGGTGACACGGAAAAGGCACGTTCTGCTGATGGGTGGCCTGGGGAACAGGGCGGGGAGAGAGCCTGAGATGAGCCTCTCCCTGAGCTCCTGTGCTGTCTCTATGACACCGGGATCCACTTGTTGTCCTCATTGTAGAGGAATGACTGCTTCCCCGGGATCTCTGGCTTGTATGTGGCTGGGGAGAGAGAAAGAAACGGCATCAGGAGAGAGAGAGGTGACCGCAAGGGCTGAGCCTAGCCGCAGAGCTGGGGAAAGGTGAGGGGGCCCTGACCCTGCCTGGGTTCTTCATAGCTTCTTTAGCAGGATCGACTTTATAATGCCACTCTCCTGTACTGGTCAGATGTCCCGCCCCAGGGCTGCCCGGAGCAGGACTGTCATCAGCGCCTGCCAAAAAGCTGAGAGTTTAAGACAAGGTGGCTACCTTGTCAGCTCTGCCAACAGTTCTGGCCATTGTCAGGGAGAGGGAAAGGGAGCTTTAGAGAGCTGCAGACAGGTGGGGAAGCACGGCGACCGCCCAGCATGGCGGAGCAGGCCTCTTGGGGATAGGAAGCTGCCAGTCTGGTGGAGCGGACCCCTCAGGATGCTAACTCTTGGGAGACCTAGATGCGATGTGATGAGTGAGTTTTCCTTGGGTCCATGGAGAGGGTGGGAGGAGCTAAGGGGCTTGGAAGAGCCACGCCCTCAGACCTGCTCTGGTGTAAGAGACACCCCAACCCCAGACTCAGTCCTACCACGAATGTCCCAAGCAGCAGGCAGCTCCCCCTTCAGGCCTTACCTGTCTTGAAAATTTCCTTGGCCAGTCGAGACTAGAGGCTTAAATATCTTTAAGAATAAGAAGTTTTCTGAGACCTTGACAAACGCTAGGACCATTTCCTTCTAAGCCAATGTCTGGGGCTGGGAGGCCCTGACTGCAGCTCCCTGGGGCTCACGGGAAAAGCCAGGGTGATGGTGTGCGCCTGTCACTCTAACACTGGTGGCTCCAAGCCAGGCAGATCCCGGAAGCTGTGAGCCGATGGCCTGCTGAGCCCTCCTGACCCCTGTAACCTGCTCAGCAAGCAGCCCATGAACTGGAGGTGTCCGATGGCCTCGGAATGACAAAGCGCTGTGGAGGATTTGGGGCCTCGGTTTTCTGACCTGGGCCGGGCAGGCTTGATTTGGATGACAACGATGGCCACCGGCTGGTGTTGGACACGAACGACGCACTGGAGATGAAGTGCTTAGGAGGTCCCTCATAGTCCACAATGTCGTACTGGCCAGGGCCTGGGGGGGGTGGCTTCGGGGGCAGAAGCAGAGGGTGGGCGGAGAAGTTCAGGAGCGTGGTCTTCCTTTGGAGAAGATAAAACGGGGGAGATGTCACCACGGCAGCCTCGTGGACGGAATTGGTAAAGCCTAAAGCACAACAGCCAATGCCTGGGGGACCCTCGGGGGGGGGGGGGGTCTGTGAGCAGCTCACCCTGGGCCTCATTCTAGCTCAGTTGCTTGAGTTCTGAGGGCCTCTAGGCCTCAGTTTCCTCGTCCTCACAATGGCAGCCATACCTCACAGGCTGGCCGGGGTTAGATGAGGTGTGGCACCTAAAACACGGTCTTGGGGCGGTGAGAGGACATGTTTCTGTCACAGACGCCTGTGGCTGAGCTCACTGGGAAAAGCAGGTAGCACTGATTGTACGTGCTGACGGTAATCGATTACTATAATCTGGCTGGAGCCCTGAGGACTGAAGCCTAGGTGAGAAGAGGCTCCGGTGAGCCACTTGTGACGTCTGCACGGCCAGGGGTAGGGAGCCTCATCCTGCCTCCAGGGATTTGCCGGTCCATAACTGCCAGACCTCTACCAACACTCCAGAACTCTGAGGGCGACCTTTCCCCTCAAGGCTGGGATGGAAAGGCACTGGACTGGGAATCCAGAACTTCTACAGGACCCTTGCTGCTTGTGTGGTGACTGTCAGATGTCCATCTTTCCTTCCACAAAGGGGGTCTATCTTGTATAACACCTTTGCCATTAAGTCATTAAATAAAGCTAAACGGACCCATGCTGGAGGCCAAGCCTACTTAACAATTCTGGAGCACAGTTGCTCCAGAATTGGGGGAGTTGGGCAAGAGGACCTTTGGGGACTGTTCTCTCACCCCCCTCAACCCACAGTGTTAACAGTGACCAGGTGTCCCCAGGACCATCTGGGGAGTCAAGCCTCACAGCTGAAGTTTCTTCTGGGGTCTCTCATGAAAAACAGAGAGGAGGTTCTCAGCACAGAACACCCAGGAGGGGGCTCTGTGCCAGAAAGCAGTGCGGGAGCTCTGGCTCCCGAGACCCTGCTGACCTTGGGCCTCGACCTTAACTCCAGTGAGCTGGGACACCAGGAGAGATGCCAACGTTCTCATTTGCTGAGGGAGCTGGTGTCCAGAGAGACAGTAGCATGTGTAAAGTCTGAGCCAGTGACGGGAACGTGGCTCTGGAGTGCCAGTCTCTTAGCCCCAGCAATTTGGAGAGGCGCCATGATAGAGGTGTTTAGGTTTCTGAGAAACCCACAAAGAGCATGAATTCTAGTCATGCCACTAACCGGTGTGGGGTCACGGACCTGTGTCTGGAGCAGGGGGGGTGAAGCCCAACCTTTTATAGGGGAGCTATGAAACAAAGTAGAAACCACAGAGGAGGTGTGTGCAGCATCTCCCGATGGGCCAGTGCATATTCGGTGTTCACACTAGGGCCGCTCTGGCTTGAGGGGATTTGCCCGATGCTAGGGAGGCCGAGGTAAGCCACTTTGCTCTGCCTGGGACTTGAACCTTGCAACAGCTGGCTTGAATGTTTATATTAGAACAAAGAGAGCCACGGGAAGGAAGTAGAAGGTGCCCCTCTGCTCTGTACGGAGGACCTGGCTTCAGGGTGTGGTCAAGAGCCGTTCCATGATAAATAAATGCTACCTCATCCCTGTTCCGGAACAAGCCAACCCCAGATAAAGTCATTCATCTTGGTCACCCCCAAGCCCCAGAGTCCCAAGTTCTTTCCAGGGAAGACCATGTGGTGTCCCCTTGTCTGGGCTCCATCACCTTCTTTGCCCCTCCCCCACTTTTCTCGTAGGACCTCAAAGCTGAGGCAAGATCATCTCCTCTAAACATTCAGACAAATAGAAAGCACAGTAAGTGTGTGTGTGTGTCTTGTATGTGTGCACGTGTGTATGATGTATGTGTGGATGTGTGTGTATTGTGTGTGCATGTGCGTGTGATGTGTGTGCATGACTGTGTGTGTGTGTGTATGTGTGTGTGTGTGTGTGTGTGTGTGTGTGTGTGTCCCAATGGGTGGCTGTGCAGAGTGGAGCAGAGAGTATAGGGAAGGCTGTTCCTGCAGGAAGGAAGAGCTAGCATGGGCAAAGGCATAAGGTTGGGAGCAGTGCTGTTCTGGGTTTTTCTGGGAGAGATCATGTGAAGCCATAATCAGAGCTCACTCTTAGCTTTATATTAGGTCTTGGCGGGGGAGCCGCTGGGGGAGAGAATTAGTGAGATAGGAGAAACCAACCTAGAAAGGATGGAGGGGTGGAGAGCTGAAGGCAGGCACTGTCCTCTTTTCCTGTGTCCCAAACCCCCGGGGGGGGGGGGGAGGAGGCAGGGACCAAAGAAAGTGATGGGGTCCGGAAACCAGATTCCCCCCACACACACACACACAAACCACCCACAGCTGGTTCCTGGTGATGCAGTGGTCACGCCCAGGATGGCCAGCAATGCAGTGTGACCGGCCTTTGATGGGGTTTGTGGCTCAGTAAAGAAAACATCTATCAGACTCCCAGGGCCACAGCGGGACAAAGCACGCTCCGGTTTCCTAGGGTACCCCTATGGCGCAGAGATAATGGATGTCTTCAAGGTCTCTCAGCAGGTCACTTGTAGAAGGCACCTAGGACCCCAGGGACACTCCCAGACACAGGTTCTCTGCCTCGGGGATTCCTAGATTTGGGAGGGATAAAGGGGCAATTTCTCACAGTTGTTCTCCACATTAAAGGGCGACCGGCTGCCTCCGGGGTAGAATGCAGCATCTGTTCTGCAGGATAGGGGCAGTGACAGATAGCTGCCTGGGAAGAGGCGACCCCGCAGTGAGGGACAATCCCCACCACCACCCTGGGAACCTTAGGTGGGCATAATTGGTCTAGCATAATTGCTGAACTGGAGACTTGCCAAGGGGCTTGCTTCTCAAGCTACCCTTGACAGGACAGCCTGCTGTGTAAAGCTGGGGGCTTAGAGACTCCAGGAAGTGGTCAGAGAGAGGGTGTTCCCCGCCTGGCAGCAGGTGGCACTGACAGGACCCCATTCTGACCTCGGAGTTTTCACCTTGCCTTGCCCTGCTTCCCTAAGTCATGCCCAGTGAACTCCTGGCTGACATTCGCTTCACGTGTTTTGTTTTGTTTGTTGGTTTTGTTTTGTGAGACAGGGTTTCTCTGTGTAGCCCTGGCTGTCCTGGAACTCACTCTGTTGACCAGGCTGGCCCCAAACTCAGAGATCTACCTGCCTCTGCCTCCTGAGTGCTGGGATTAAAGACATGTGCCACCACCACCCAGCTCTTGCTTCTCAGGTCAAGACAACCCATATGCCAGCAAATCCTCCTAGCAGCCGGGCAGCCGAAGGCCGAGGACACCCACATTGTTTTCCTCAGCTGTCTCAGGAGGCAGGGGTACCAGCCTCCTGGTGTGGCACCGCCCTACAGATTCCACTCTGGAAAGCTCAGAGGTAGGTGCTCCTTGTTGAAGCTTCCACAGCTGGGCTGTGGGTTTGAACCACCATGACAAACAGCAGCTGTGTCCTATTTCAGTCGGCTACAGCATAATCCCGGCTGTAACGATGAGTAAGAGCTCAGACATCTGAGGCAACAGACATTCTCCTGGTTGGAACATTAGGCAATGCTTCAAAACACCACATGGTCTCCATCAATGTGCACGGCTTTTATGCATCGGCTGGGAAAAGGTTAAGAACTGTTTCCAAGTTCTGCTCCATTCAGCCTTGTGGGAGCCACAGCGGAGAAGATCCTGGCCTCTGCTCGGCAATGAGGCAAGGTGGGAAGGCCCCAAAGGGGACAGTCCTCTGCCCATGTGCCTGCCCCTTACCGCAGCGTTTCCCTGGCAGACCATGGAAAAGCTTGTGTGCAGAGGGAGCTCAAGCCAGCCTGGAGGCGGGGGTCTCTGATTTTCAGAGGGGGACTAGCCATCCTGGTCCCCTGGTCCCCTGGGAAGGGCCCTGCAGAATCCCACAATGGGAACACAGAGGGGATTTACCTGGAAGTGAGCCTGATTCACCTCTCCAGCACCTACTTGACCCGACAGATCTCTGTCTTCCTGCCCTGTGGCCCAGGCTGATGGCCAGACGGTGTCAATGTTTCCAGCTCCCCTGCCAGTTGCCTGGGTGTTTAACCCACTGCAGCTGGGGCCCTGATACCTGCCTTGCCTCTGTGGAGGGGCTCAGGTGCCCACACACTCAGCCCTGACACGGATGGCCACCCTTCCAATGGCTGGACCTGCAAGAGGGGCTCCGACAGGGCGCGGGCTCAGAGGGTGACAGGATCAACCTTATGAGCAGCATGGTTCTAGAAGCTCTCCAGCCATTTAAGGAATCCTTAGGCCCTGATACCTTTGCGCCTCTTAGATGAAAGTAACATCAGAAATGAGGTGTAGGGAGGCTGGAGAGAGGGAGGGCTCAGTGGCAAAGAGCACTTGTTCTCGTAGAGGACTGGGGTTAGGCTCCCAGCACCCACCAGGCAGCTAACAACAATCTACAGCCAGAGTTCCAGAGGACCCATCGCCCTCTTCTGGCCTCCATCGGCACTGCAGGCATATGGTGCACAGACAGACACGCAGACAGAACACCTACACACATAAAAGGAAAACAAAAAACTTCAAATGGTATGTACTTTAAATGGTGACACAGTGTCTCTTTCGCCTCCTATCCCCCACTTTGGAAAAGTGCGGCCCAGAATGGACTTGAGTTCTCAATCCTCCTGCCTCAGCCTCCAAAGTACCAGGATTACAAATGTGCGTCAACCTGCCCCTCTCGGTCTCTTCCTAACTTTCTATTAATGTTAAGCCACCACTTACACATACTGTTTGCCTGACAATTGTTTAATTCTGAGCGTAACCCTGTGAAGCACGACTTAAACGCATTCAGCTCACAGTGTAATACGAACTGCCCAAAGGCCACACGTGCAGCCTGCACACAGCAGGGCCGAAGGGCAAAGGGCAAACCCAACAGCTCTCCGTCGGTGCACCCGCTTTTGCATCTCCCCCAAGCGCAGAGGAGACTCCTTGTCAGAAAAGCAGAACCACTGTAGCCCCGGGAGAAGCTTTGTGGGGAACATGGAGAGAGCCTGATGTCCTGAACCGGGTCTCTACGGCAGGATGTGAGCGGTGTGGACTCAGGGAAATCCCTCACGCTCACTGAAGCTCCTTCCTCTAGGAAGCAAGGACACTTGACTCTGCCATTCTTAACACAGATGCTACTCAGTTAATATCAAATACTCTCCGGCGGCTTACTGAGCGCCGTGCCATGGCAGCAGGGAGCCCCGGACTGGGTCCTGGTGACGGGTGCCCATTCTCACCCTGCCCCCTCCAGGGTCCCCTGGGGCTAGTGCAGCAGAAAAATGCAGGACTCACGGGACACTAGGCTTCTTCAGAATCTTGATGCACTCATTGGGGTTGTAGTAACCTGGCCCTGGGCCCATTGATGTCAGTTTTAATCCACGGCCGGTTGTTGACTTGAAGCAGGACACTAAGATCTTCGGCGATTGCTTCACCAGGGCCTCGTTCACATCATATTTCCCTGGAAAGAGGGAAACATTGCCACAGGATGAGATGCCCTCCCCAGCTTGGTGAAAAGCAGCACCTGCCACCAGCTGTCACAGGCACCTTACAGCTGGCACCTTGACAATGTCACTTCCCTGGGTCAGAGGGGAAGGCTGCCTGCATGGGGTGACGGTCAGACCTGCCAGTTGGAGAATGCATATCAACCTGTGGGACTCACAGCAGCCTGGCTGGGTGGCTCTCACTCTTTCAACCCATCCCCAGGGCCCTGCAGCCCAGAGGTAGAAATTGACTAGCCAGAGAACATCCATTCAACCAGGCACCTAAGGAACATCCCAACGCCGGTGCAGCCCAAACTGACAGTCTCCCCCTCAAAATAGGAAGCACACTTGGGCTTCTGGGGACAGAGTGGTTCCAATAGCTGAATGTTTGTTTGTTTTTAAGATTTATTTCTTTTATGTGTATGAGTGCTCTGTCTGCATGTGCACCTGCACTCCAGAAGAGGGCGTCAGATCACATTACAGATGGTTGTGAGCCACCGTGTGGTTGCTGGGAATTGAACTCAGGACCTCTGGAGGAGCAGACAGTGCTCTTAACCGCTGAGCCATCTCTCCAGGCCACTGAATGTTATCTTAATGGTTTGTAAATGTCAAATAAGTAATGGATGTGTGTGTGTGTGTGTGTGATTGTCTGTGTATCCTATGTGTCTGTGTATCCTATGTGTCTGTGTGTATGTTATGCATATATCTATGTGCAGGCATGTATGCCTGTGTGCATACATGTTCCAGCGATGCCCTGTCCTATTTGGTCCCTTTCTGCCTTATTTCCCTAAAACAGAGATCTGTCACTGGCTAGGCTGGTGGCCAGCTTACCCCTTGCCTCTGCCTCTACCCTCTACAACACTGGAGTTAGGGTGCACATGCGACCACCCAGCTTTTTACATGGGTAACAGGGATTTGAACTCAGATCCTCATGCCTGAATAGTGAGTCCCCCCACCGGAGAAGCTACCTCCTCAGCCCCCAAATTACTGTTATTATTTTGAGGTGTCTTTGTTTGCATCTGGACACATGAGTCCAAGTGCTCCTGGGGGGTCACATCCCCTGGAGTTGGAATTCCTAACACCTGTGATACGCCTGAAATGGTGCTGGAAACTGAACCGGGGTCCTCTGGAAGAGCAGCAAGTGCTCTTAACCGCTGAGCAGTGTCTCCAGTCAGGTTCCTGCTGTGTGGAAAGAAGTCTAGTCCCTCAGAAGCAGTGTTTCTCAGCCTGTGTGTTGTAAGCCCTTTAAGGTTGAATGACCTTTTCACAGAGGCCCCCTAAGACCATCAGAAAACACAGAGATTTACATTACAATTCATAACAGTGGCAAAATTACAGTTATTAAGTAGCAACAAAAATAATTTTATGCTTGGGGAGGGTCACCACAACAGGAGGAACTGTATTACAGGGTCTCGACAGCAGGAAAGTTAAGAGCTGCTGCTCTAAAGCCCATGACCCATGCTCTTGTCTTAAACAATAAAAGGGGCTGGAGAGATGGCTCAGAGGTTAAGAGCACTGGCTGCTCTTTAGAGGTCCTGAGTTCAGTTCCCAGCAACCACATGGTGGCTCACAACCATCTATAATGAGATCTGGTGCCCTCTTCTGGCCTGCAGGCATACATGTATAAATAATAAATATAAATTTTAAAAAAAGAAACAATAAATAATCAAATCCACTCCACTTGTACACACAGCTTCAAGGAGGATAGAATGGTCTGAGCTGGAGGGAGGGCAGGGTGCTACAGTGTCACCCCTAAATTCTCAGCAGCTCTGGGAGTCGGCACAGGTGTTTGGGAGAAGAGAGGTGTGGTTCCGGGCAAAGGCCCTCACTGACTCCTGCTCATGTTGATCTAGCCTTCACATCACTCAGGAGTCAGGGGAATTAGTCAGCGGGAGGTGAAAGCTCCAGGCAGGAGGCTGGACACACCGTGGGCACCCTAGTGCCAATCCCGTGTGCAGGACCAGGTGGCATTACAGGGGCTAAGCCAGCAGGGAAAGGCAAGTTCCACAGCGACACTCCCAGTGCCAGAGGCCACCTGCGCTTGGCCTGGCTCTAGTTTGTCTGTTTATTTGTTTGTACTTTTAGTTATTTGTATGTATGTTCACACCTTTGTTAATACCTGTGCACTTGTGTGTGCTGGTGTGTGTGGAGGCCAGAGTTCCAGCCCAACTGCCTTTTACCATTTTCACTTGTTTATTTATTGTGTGTGTTGTGCATTTACAGATATGACACAGCACACACACACACACACACACACACACACACGGGTCAGAGGACAACTTGAGGGAGCTGGGTCTGCACCATGTGACCCTGAGGACTGAACCCAGGTCATCAGGCTGAGAGCGAATACCTTTGCCTGCTAAGCCATCTTGCCAGCCCTCCATATCACCATCACCATCGTCATCACCATCATCATCACCATCAGCAGCAGCACCATTATTTTTTTGAGACATGGTCTCTCACTGAACCTGGAGTCCCGGGTTTGGCTAGATTGGCTGGCTAGAAAGCCCCAGGGATCCTCCTGCCTCTGCCACCCCACCTGGCTTTGTCACTTGGTGGGACAACTCAGGTCCTTAGAGCAAGCACTTTGCCGCCTGAGCCCCACCCCCTCTAGGAAACAGGTCGCATGTTATCACGGTTCTCCTGCCTCAGCCTCCCAAATACTGGGATTACAGGTGCCACATAGTAATACACTGAAAGTCTATACATACTGTGACTGAATCAGGGCATGGGACTAGGGGCCATCAAGCGGGGGGGGGGGGGGGGTTGGTTCATGCCAGGAAAAGAAATACAGCAGAATTGGTGGGATCCGGAGAAGTGGGAACAATCTTAGTCATGGTGGCATCATAGAGATGATAGTTCAAAGAACTGTAAATTCGACTGTGTCAAGCCTGGGTTTTTGTTTTAGAGACGAGTCTCACTCTCTAGCCCTGGCAGCCAAACACGCAAGGCAACCTTCCTGCTTCAGTCTTCTGAGAAGTTGACTTTGCTTTAAAAAGAATGTGCTTTTCTCTTGAAAAAGTGATGAAGAGCACACGGGGAGTGGGGGAGGCCATAGGATTGTCGATAACACGACCATCTCCAGGAGAAACATCGAGAGGAAGGCCGGAGTGACCCCTTCTCCCTCCGTGGGAAGAAGAGGAACACTCACCCTCTGAGGGGGAGTTTGGTCCCCCCCCCCCCCGTTCTTTGTTACAAGGGACCCCGGGGAGTCTGAGAGGACTCAGATGCCCTATCCCAGGGCTCTGTGGAGGGGCCTCTGGCTAAAGCCCAAGGGTGCCAGCTTTGTTCTGCTGTAGAAACAAACAAGGTGGGGTTTTGTGGGGATGGTGCAAGGATGGGGGGAAGGGGGGAGGGCTGTGGCTGTACTGAGCCTCCTAATTAGTGCTGGTTTTGTCACTCGGCTTCAGCCTGATCTTCTGGCTTTAATCTGGATTTGCTGAAATCTGGCGTGCCCTGCAATTTTCTCCACACCCTACGCCTCCCTGCCCCTCCTCTGGGTTCTGGGGCCCAAAGCTCCAGGCTTGGCTGGGTCAGGCTGGGGGTGGGAGGCTGTGCGGACTTTCCTGGACCCCTCTGAAATAGCTGCGGGGATGTCAGTGTGGGAGGACAGGGATATCGCCACCTTTCGGAATACAGCAGGGAGTAACACGGGCAAGCTCTAACGTGTTCCCGGATCCTGTTTCCAGAAGGCACCAAGGATCCAGAGGGGTCTAGCCTAGTACCCTTGGGCTCAGTGTGCTACTTAATGTCTGGCAACATTGGACCAGTGTCTCTGAGCATCTCCTTCTGAATGTGAAGAACAGGGCTATGGGCACAGGCAGGCAAAAACTCTTCCTATGGAATAAACGCTGGAAGTGCAGCCACCACCTGGCCATTTAGGAGCAGATGGTAAAGCAACCTCTGTGCCAGTGCCACCTTCTCTCTCCCTCCCTGCCAGTGGCCTGCCAAGGCCACTTCCCCACCAGGCTGCCCAGAGCAGGCGTGCCTGCTTCCAAAGGGCCAAGCCAAGAAGGCCTCTTAGGGCAAACGAGCAGGCCCACCAGGTCCCATGGCCTCTGTGCTCAGCACTCTCTCAGCCTCCCCTCCCCCAAAAAAGGCCAAGCTTCTTCTGAACAGGCTCCCAGCAGGGAGATGGGTGTCCTGAGAGCCAGAGGAGCCGAAGCAGGAACCCAAAGTCAAGGCAGATGCTTACCTGGCGCTGGCCCTCCCAATGTGACCATGGGGAAGGATCCTCTCTGTGTTTTCGATAGAAACCCAGAACAGGCATTGTTTTTCTGTGCGCAGGAAGAGATGGAGGCCTGTGTGATTTAAAAAAAAAAAAAAAAAAAAAAAAAACACACACACACACACACAGAGTGCTCAGTGCCGGCTCGCTCCCTGTTCTTGTCACCCTGCCTGGACAGGTGGCGAGTAGGAGCCCACTTTAAGCCTGTCTTTCTTAAAAGAACTGACATGAGCTGAGGAGGTCACTCCAGCCGTGCCTCTGTCATCCCCCAAGTTCAAGTGGTCTGTGACAATCACACACTCGCATGCCCACATACACACATCCACACCGCCGCACACAGGCACATGCACACACACACACACTCACACACACGCACAGACACAACACATGTGCAAGCTCACTGTGGAGAAGAAGCCAGAAGAGAATGGCCAGGAGGCCGGGAGGGAAACCTGAAGACCAAGGCTGTGTGGTGCTGCTCGGGTGGTTTAGAACTGAGCCTGAGTTTTCTCTCTGTGTCAAGTGCAGCAAACGGTCCCCGCTCTGTTTTGGAACACTTTGGGGACAGGGGAGGACATAGCAAGCCATGTAGAGAAAGTGGGTTTGTTTGTTTGTTTCTTCTCAGCGCTGGGGTCTTGGGCACTGCGAGCCAGCTGTACCTGCCACACTTAAGGTGTGTTTTTTACTGAGTGTGTGATACTGTTACAATTTTTTTTCATCTCTTTTGCTGTCATCTTGATCCTTTCCAGGACAAGTCTTCACGTCCCCCACCTGGTCCCCGGCCACATTCTTCTCTGCACAAACAGTGCTCTCTAAACACAGCATCTGGGGTGCCCGAGCCCAGGTCGCTAGAGATTAGGATCGAGTCTGCAGTTATTTTCTTCTCTCTGCTTTTCTGGATGAACCAGAAGTTAAGAATTTTGGCTGATCCACATAATATACATATGAGAGTGCCCCATAGGTTCCGAACTCTGAAAATGAGTTGGGGGGAGGGGGTTGACTCTCGGGGTGGAGGGGATGAGATCATTCTTCTGTTAACACGAATCACAAATATTTGACATGCCAATTTGTAGTCAGTCTCCTGTATTTGTTAGATAACAGAAGCAATAAAAATTGTGCACAAGAGTGCTGGGAATATTTGCTGAATGAGTGAAACTATTTGCTGGGGGCTGGGATGGCTTGATTCTCCCTGATTCTTCTTTGTTTAAAAAGAAAAAAAAAAGTGTCTTGAGAAATGCAGGTGGCATTCTGGTTCTGTGCTCACAGAGGTGGAGGAATGTTGCCTTTCCCAGGGGCCTGATGGCAGGTTGCACACAGAGAGCTCCCACAGGAAGGCCAGATGGGCAGGCTAATTACTGGACAGGAGAGGAGCAGGCCCAGATTGAAGATAATGACAGTCCCACAGCAAAGATCTCCAGAAGAGAAGCGGGGGACCAAGGCCGGCAAGTTGTTCATTGCACAGCATGGCTAACGGGATTATAGCCTTTGGGCTCCTGGCCTGCTGCCGCCACCATTGTTCTCCTGGTTAGGGAAAAGCCTCCTTCAGACAAAACAGTTCCCTGGCTTTGTTCTTTACCCAGACAGAAAACCTGAAAACCTGTGGAGAGGGGGGAACCTGTGGAGAGGGGGGAACCTGTGAAGAGGGGAGCTTTTTATTTTTTTTTTTTTTGTATTCCTGTAAGTCCAACAGGAATATTTCCCCATTTCTCCATTAGACTAAGAAAATACTCCTCAGCAGGTAAAAACAGAACAAAGTGGAGCTCTGAAGCATTGTGGAGATGTAGCTAAGCAGGAAACAGCAGGACCTCGTGCGGGAGAAGAGTGTGTGTGAATGGGAAGCCCCTGAAGAAATCGCACCTGGCTCTTGGTGGCATTTGCCTTGGGGACCCACATTCCAGGAGAACTGGCATGGGGCAGGAGAGACACTTCAGCAGTTAAGAGTACACACTGTTTTTGCTGAGGACCAGAGGTCAGTCCTCAGCACCCACACCAAGCGGCTCATTACTTACGGTAACTCTAGCTAGGAAGGACGGATGGCTCTCGCCTCCAAGGGCACCTGCTCTAAGGTACACACACACACCTCTGCCTCTCTCTCTCTCTCTCTCTCTCTCTCTCTCTCAAAAAAAAAATAAAGTTTTCAAAGGAAGAGAAGTCAAATTATAAGGAAATTCTACTCTGTGTGATGCATTTCCATAGGGCTTTGAATAACTGTTTATTATTCAAACTATACAAGCATTACTTTCAGTCACCTTAAAACAATCATGAACAAACTCCATGCACTCTTCGGGACTGGGGAAATGGTTAAGTCTAAGAGCCCAGTTCCCATCCCCAGCACTCAGCACAGAAAGTCAGGCACAGTGGCACATGTCTGGGGGGTGGGGGTAGAGACAGGAGGATCCCTGAGGCTCATTGGCCAGCCAGTCAGTGCGGACCTTTTCTCAAAAGTATAATAATAACGATGATGATGATGATAGTAATAATAAAAGGTAGACAGCAATAGAGGAAGACACCTGATGCCTTCACATGCACAGACAGGTATACATATACACACACATGCACACACACGCACACAGCACTACTCGCTCACCACGCACGTCTTGGCTGAAAGGTCTGGACCTTGGCCATTTGCAGCCCCACAGCTGTAGTGGCCCAGAGGCCATTCATTTAACCATGGATGCTTGTCACATGTTGCTGTGTCCAGGGCCCCGTGGGGCAGGGCAAGGATGTACATAGAGGACCAGAATCATCCAGGCCCACCTCAAGCTTTATCACCCTTTGGCTGCTTCGAGGGAGGACACGGAGGGGTGTTCACAGGGACAGCTAGACCTGGCTCCCAGGTGGCCTGGGGCTCTGTCTGGATGCCTCACACCTGCACAGACCATTCTTGGACACAAGTTTCCTCTCTGAAACTACACTGCACTCTGGAAGAGGAGTTTTAAAAACCTCCTCAGGCTATGTCCCACCTTCCCACTCCCCCTCAGGGGCGTCGCCAGGGCACAGAGAACGAAATCTAAACTCTCTCCCGGTGGCTTCAGGGATACGCTGAGATAGCCACTGTCTGCCTGTCTGGTCTCCTCTTTCAGCCTCCTGGCTCAGGAGACCCTCAGACCCTGTAGTCCTGGATGAACTAGCCTCTTCGCTGCCTCAGGACATTGGCATATGTTCTTCCTTCAATTCTAGACTTTCTTCCAATCCTTGGTTCTCAGCCTCAGAGGTTTCTCTGACTATTGAGTCTAAAGGGCAGGGGTATGTTCAACCCCTGAACCCTGGACACACTTTCTCAGATTCCAAATCTCTCTCTCTCTCCCTCCCCCCTTCTCTCCCTCCCCTTCTCTCTCTCCCCCTTCTCTCCCTCCCCTTTTCTCCCTCCCCTCTGTGTGTGTGCATGTGTGTATATATATATATGTGTGTGTGTGTGTATGTATATGTGTCATGTATGTGTGTGTGGTGTCCCTTTATATGTGTGTATGTGTGTGTGTATAGGCACTGAGCTAGGAAGCTTAAGGCAAGTTGCCCGCCCCCATCTTAGCACCTTCTATTGTGAACTGGAATCAAGTAGCACATTAGATAGGCTGTTCTGGTGTATTAGCACCAGGGCCACAAGGTTCATAGGCCAGCCGACTGAGCCCACGCCAAGCTCTGCTACCACCATCACATCATTATCAGAGTCCAGTCACCCAGGGGAACTTTTAGAACAGCCTGTCCAAGATAGTAGCCACAATCAGCCCTAGGAACATGACCGAGCCAGAGTTAGGACAGGCTGAAAATAGCGAATACACATCAGACTGCAAAGGCTTCCAATGAGACCTGGTCCTCCTGAAATAGCTTGTTAATAACCGTGTGCGAGTGTGTGTGTGTGTGTGCGCGTGTGCGAGTGTGTGTGCACGTGCCTGTGTGACTGCGTCAAAACAATGGCGTTTTGGATCTACCAAGTTGAGTGAGCTACCACAGAGCTGGTTTCGCCCATTCTTTTTTAGTTCTCTAGGCTGCTTCTAGAAATTGCTCACTGGCACAGCTGGCCCTGAGCTGCCTCCACTGCTAAGTGCTGAGGCAGCATCGCTCCCCTGCTCTGAGCACACCACAGCCGACCGTCCAGTCCCAGAGGGTGGGCAAGAGCTCTGCAGACATATAAACAGGACTTAGAAACCGTGTTTCAGAGAGGAACTTGAGCATGAGGTAGCTGAGACCAAAGTCTTCCGAGAAGCAGCCGTTTGCCGCTGCCACCTTCTGTGTGGGCCACAGCTTGACTTCCGGGCACACACAGCGGTTTGTGCTCTCCCTCGCTTCTTACCACGGCCTCCTAAGGCTACATGGTGAGAGCCTGCCTCCAAAACAAAACAACAAAAGCACTGACAGTTTTCATATATAGAAAGCAGTTGGGTTTTTCTTATCAAATTCTGAAGTGTAAACCAAGAGTGTCAGCGGATGGAGTACGGACCTGCTGTGACAGAGGAGAGAAACCGGCCCTGGAAGACTCCGGCTTCCTGCAGCTCCCTGCCACCCCCTACCGTTGCACACGCCCTCTTTGGCTTCTTGCAGCCACCGACCCTGCCCCCAGCTTGCTCACAGATGCTCACTGGTTGACCCTCTGTGTCAAAAAGCTGCTCCCCCTACCCCGCACCCTTCTCCACACGTTGGCAAGCCACCCTTCCAACATGGGCACTGGGCCTGGGCCGGTGATGTCCTTACATTGTAATGGTTCGGGGCGGGGGTTTCGGATTTGACCACTTTCATGAAGATTGGCTGCTGGAACATGCTGGAACACGAATTGCTGAAGTCCTTCTTGGAAACCAAGGTTGACCGGATGGTATACGCATTGGCGGCGGGATATTTGGATATGATGCTGCTAAGCCGAGCACACTGAGGGAGGAGAACAGGATCAGCATCGTCAGGTGACCCAGGAGCTGTGAGGGACGGCTCAAAAGAGAAGGACCCTGCCCCAAGCCCACCGCCATTTGCTTGCTTGGTTGTCTGAGTGTTGAGACAGGGTCTCACCAAGTAGCCCAGCTGGCCTAGAGCTCACTGGATAGCTCAGGCTAGCCTCAGACTTCCAGCGCTGCTCCTGCCTCAGCCTCTGCTGCCAGTGGCCACCACGCTCAGCCTAAAGCTTTTTGTTTTTTTTTTTTTTTCTGTAAGAGGCGAGGCTGTAGCAAGTTCACAGTGGTAATCAGACCCTCGGGCTTTGAGGGCTACGCTCTTGGGAAATGCAAGCTCAGACCTGTTGACTTGTGTAAACTAACTTCCAAGTATTCATCACCTGTTTGGGACCCGGAGAGAGAGATTTTCCCAGCAGGGCATTTTCACTGCATCCAGTTCCCGGCCCCTTACGCCTGCCTGTCAGCTGTGGGTGACTCCTGTGGTAGGGAGGGTTAGACTGGTCCCTGTGATGTCTGCAGAGAGCTGCTTCAGGTAGCTTAAAGGGGCAGACAGGGCTGCTCAGAGGTGGCCATCCACTCATGCCTCCTGTTGCTACCAAGTCACTATTTTCATGCCAGGTGTGGCAGCACACACGTGTGGTCCAGTATTCCGGAGGCAGAGACAGGAAGACAGTGAGTTCGAGGCCAGCCTGAGCTACATGGTGAGACAATGTCTCCAATAAATAAATAAATCACCAAAAGCAACAGCAAACCACTGCATTCATAAAACCCTAAAATATTTATGGTTCAACAAAACCAATTCCAGCCATATCCGGAAACCATGACAAACTATTTTCAGTTCAAAAACAAACACAGATCAGTGTTTGCCAAATGAATGGGGGCAAAAGCTATAGAAACTCAATGATAACATCTCCTTAACCTGTGACAGCATGGCTGGTATTAGAGTCTGATAAAACAAAAAAGTTCCCATAGTTTTATAGTGAAAGCGGAGGAACAACTGCCCTGGGTTTTCTCCACTCCCGGGAGGTCACAGGAAGTGAGGGAGGCTGAGAGCAACCTTTACTTCCCTGCATTCCCTTCAAGAGGGCTGGTGGAGGCGGTTCTCAAAGGTGGTGTGGGGGTAGGGGTTTCAACAGAGGCAGGGCTGTCCTCATCTGGACTCTAACCCGGGTTCAAAGCCAAGCTCTAGCTGTGAAGACTCCTCAGGGCTCCCGGCAGCGGCCACAGCCTTCCCTTTCTGGCCAGCTGTTCACCGGGGATTTGGTGGGTGCCTTTGGTTTTCACTACTCTGAGCAGCGGATGGACGTCACAACCACTTCACGGAAAGAGAAACTCAGCCCTGCTGTGAAGTGGGGTGGGAGGGCCAGCTTCAGCGGCGGTGTGCCGCCGCCCGGCGGCCAAGTTCAGACACGATGTTCAAAGGCCAAATGGGTCGCGAGGCACGGCCCTGGGATCTTTTCTGCCTTCAGAGGCTCGGTGCGTCTATGTTTGGGGGTGGGGGTGGGGTAGGGGGTGTCTAAAAACTTCCCCGTGAGGCCGAGCTCCCTGAGGCATCAAAACAGGCTCAGTGTGGGCAGAACTCACTCTCCAGCCGTACGCCCTGCCTTTCCCTGCCAGGCCTGTGGTCTCCGGTCTGTGGGCCCCGCACTGGCACCTGAGAACTTCTCCCGGACACATACTAACTAACTCCTCTGGAGCAGCCTCACCAACACTGTGCTACTCAGAGAGGCCACCCATGTCCCCGCCTGCCTGCCTCATTTAGCTTCCTGGTCATGGTCATAGAAGAGTCTAGAAGAGAAAACTTGGAGTGCCTCAGTGAGGTGCTCTATCATTTGAACTCTGAGAGATGACAAGTCTCCTCAAAGGGTTGGGTGTTGTCGCCCTGACAGTCACCAGGAAGTGTGTAGAATTTATAGGCCCATGGACATTTTTGGGCGGCCTCACCCCAGTCACACTCCTCTGGTCCCTTGTGATCTTCATCTGAGGCTGGAGGTTTGAATACCCAGAGTCTCGGGATCCAGAAGAGGGGAAAGGCCCTCCGTCTTTCCTCTGGGCTGGACAGAAACTAGAGACCATGTTGGGGCCTGCAGCCAGATATTACAAAGCTGTAAGGCCCCCTTCCCAAGAATTCAAAAATGCAAGTGTCTACAAGAATAAAGTTGGGGGCTGGAGGATGGCTCAGACATTCCAGCATGTCACCAGAGGGCGTGGATTCTATTCCTAGCACCCACACCAAACAACTTAGATCTGCCTAGAACTCCAGTTCCTGGGGACTTGGCGCCCTCTGCTGGCCTCTGCAGGTACCTGCACGCATGTGTGCATCACCCCCACCTCTGCCCCAGCCCCTCCCCACCACATAATCATAAATAAGCCTTTTCTTTAAAACAAGAAATGTAAAAGCTGAAGCCTTAGGACCATCAAAGGGAGAGGAGCCTCACACCTTTCTTCTTTCATTTTTTTTTTTTTTTTTAAGAAGTGCAAGACCTTATTGGATTCCACCTACATTCAGACTTTCCTGTGCCTTTGTCTCTTGGATAGAGAGGTGAACCATTCGAAAATTAGCACCAGTGAAGCCTAGCAGGACCCTGATTGTGTCACCAATCCAGCCCCTTCATGGCACCAAGAAGGAATGGTAGCGTGCTGTCTGACAGAGTTCTCAGAGAGAAGCAAGGCGCTCTGGGCCTAGGGTGACTCAGGCTCTCACAGTGCTAGCTGGTGGCCTGTTTACACTGCTCTACAATTTCAAAGTCTTTCTCACTGCCGACTGCCCAGAGCCTCCAGGGAGTCTCTGAGGCAACTGGGACACAGAGAAGGGTGACGTGCTTGAGGTCACATTCAGGCTCCACAGCTGAGTCAGTATTAGGCCTGTGGCCAATGCTGGGGCACTGACATGTTCCTCTGAGGGTTGCTTTGGGGTCTTTGTCCCAAATGGTGAGCTTTCACTCCAAAGCCAGTGTGCCCCTGAGTTCCTCACTGCCACGCCCAATTCCCAACAAGAGGTGGCTGCATTCGGCGGGCCCTAAGTGGGCCCTCTATGTGAGATTAGTAAGAAAATGAACCCCAGTGTAAGGCATCATCTATGTCTACGCAAGAGACTGCCATATCCTTTAGAGGGACGAGCACACACGTGTGTTCTGTTGACATCAGACTCCGGCTCAGCTTTCTCCTTCACTGTTCCACCTCAGGCAACCTGGCTCGGGTTTGGCTCTTTCCCGTGCTGCTTGGTTCCCTTAAGGCTGAGTCGTGGCTTAGAGGAAACATCCTTGGGCGCCATCCTCAGCATGCACACACCAAAACAAAACTCAGAGGTTCACTGTCTTCATCCATGGTCAGAGGCGCTTCGTTTACATGTTTGACTGGCAAGAATCCTCAACAAAGATAAAGTCCCAGGAGCTAACGGGAAGATTCCTGTACTTCAGGCCCAGTGCTTGCTCACATACTCTACCTCTCCTTCATCCTCTCCCCTGCCCTGCCCTGTGTGTGTATGTGTGTATGTATGTGTTTCTGTCTGTCTGTCTGTCTGTCTGTCTGGGTCTTTGTCTCTCTGTGTGTCTTTTGTTGTTGTTGGTTGTTTCAAGACAGGGTTTCTCTGTGTAGCCCTGGCTGTCCTAGACTCTCTTTGTAGACCAGGCTGGCCTCGAACTCGCAGAGATCAGCCTGCCTCTGCCTCCCTGAGTGCTGGGATGTGTGTCTGTCTGTCTCTGTCTCTTTTGTTCTTGTGAGGGAGTGAGGCACATGCCATGATGGAGCGTGGAGCTCAGAGGCCAGCTTCCTCCTACCACGCAGGTCTCGGCAATCCAGCTCTGGCTGTCAGCTTGGCCAGCGGCACCTCTCATCTTCCGTACCACCAAACTCTGCCCTTAGTCTCTTTCTTTTGTTCCGTCCACCTTCCCAGTGATTTGAACAACCCAGTTATACGAAGCGAGTGTTAAAAATCATTTCAGGGGAGGACACGGCAGCCACCCTGGCATATCCGGCCGCCTCGGGAAGACGCCTGCTTCTTGTGCTGAAGAGGCTTGGACAACCCAAGTTCTAGCTTCTGCTCCACACGCATCCACGGAGATAAACGGCCCGTAGGGCACGGGGTCGGATTGGAGTTTGTGAAATCACAAGAAGTGGCTGCTGTCTTAGTCAGAACAGAGATGGCTGTCCACCATGCCATTACACAAAGAGCGGAGGAAATTACTGACTGGTCAACACCCGAGGGAGGGCTCTCACCGTGGAGGGAAAAGTGCAGGTTCCTTTCTTGGAGAGAGAGGCACTGTTGAATACCGGGGACTGGTGGACGACATTGTAGAACCCAGGGCCTGGGATGTCATCCTGGAAAGGGCGAGAATGCAGCGTCACTGGGCATGGCCACCTCAACACCCTTTCCACCAGCTTTCCATCCATTAGCGCTAAGCCTCCCTCTAATCCCACGGGGCAGGTCCACCATTCTCAGGGTGACAGCCTGGCTCCACGCTTCTGTGACTTGCCCAGTCTCTAACCTGTTTCCAGTGGGAGGGGCCGGAATTCTAATCCAGGTCGGGCCTCCCAAAGCCCTTGCTTTTCCCACTAAGTCGCCATCCTGAGTTCTAAGGGAACAGTGCTTTGGGGAGAGTTTGTTTTTCGTGTCATTAGGGAACTGCGGTGGTATGCGTGTCAGTCGGCCTGCGCTGGGTCAGCCAAGCCTGAGGAAAGGGGAGGGTGACCGATTTTACGGTAACCACACCCCACCTGACTCAGCTTCCTCCTGAGGCCTCTAAGAAGGGAAACCGGGGAGTGTTTCTGTTTATAAAGCAAAATGAAACAAAAACAACCTTCATTCTGAATGAGGCCATATTGAACTCGGAGGCCAAGTGAGGTGAGCCATGGGGGCACAAGGGTGACGAGACTGGGGTGCTCGGGAGCAGCCAGCAGACGCTGTGATCAGAGCCGGCTTTGCTACAAGCTACCTGAGCTGCCAGGACCTTCTAGCTCATTTCTGGTGCTAGTTACTAAGGGGACGCCAGGATTGGCAAAAGCTGAAGTGAGTGGCATGAAATGAGGAGATGCTTCATTGTTGGGACAGCTTCCTGGTCCTGCCCAGCTGCTGGAGCTTTTGAAAGCTAATCTTATTTTCACCATCACCCAATGAGGAAGGGATTACTGGCCCTGTTTCACAAATGAGGCACATGCAGATGGAATTGTCCAAAGTCCAAATGCTGAGTACACGGTGTGCACTCTTGGAAGGGGGCATTCCACCAAAGCCACCTGAAAAAACAAGCCAGGCACGTGGGGGCCACAGCCAGTAAGCAGTGAACCCCAGATTTGAGCCCATGGACCCAGACTGCAGACTTTGCTAGCTCAACTCTGTCACCCCAGAAACATCTTGACTCTCCTGTGCCTGCTGCCTCACCCAGGCAGAGAGCTTGAGGTACCACTGATGCCTTCCAGAAGTTTCCAATCTGGAGAGCTGGGACAGAGTGACTGGAGTTCATTATAAAAAAAGAGAGGCATAGTTGCTGTCAGCAGGGACTTGGGGTGAATGTGTCACACACATAGACACACACACACACGCACACGCATGCAGGCAGTGAGAGGAAGAACGGAGGACACAGCCTCCCAGGGCCGAGCGAGAGTCAGAAGCCTGACAGTGTAGTCAGCCTCCCAGGGTGCTGTTCACACCCTGTGCCCAGCAGCACACTGAGACTTCAGAGCGGCCGGCTCTCTGAGACTTCATTAGGAAACTGAGAAGATGGGGTCCAAAGAGAAATGACCCATCTTGCACAACCGGCAAAAGCGAGAGCCAGAATTTGAACCCGGACATCTAGAGTCCTCTAACCACAGACACCACCTGTCTCTCAGAAGAGACTATAGGATAAAAGAAAAATCCTTCCCCGGGGTTATGAAAAGTCTGTTCACAGTGCTGTTCAGCTATTTGATCTTGAGCAACTGACCTCACTGGGCCTCAGTTTCCCTATCTGTATATCTGAGATGCTGAGAATCTACTGAGGTTCCAGGGTCCCTGTCACTAGGGAAAACTGCAACAGGAGTGTTACACGTGACTGATTATGATGATGACATTGATGAGCGCTTCACCTGCTTGTATGTATGTGAAGCACGTGTGTGCCTGGTGCCCACAGAGGCCAGAAGGCGGCGCTGGATCCGGTGGAACTGGAGTTACAGACAGGTGTGAGCTGTCATGTGTGTGCTGGGAATTGAACCTGGGTCCTCTGGATGAGCAGCCAGTTCTCTAACTCCTAAGGCAGCTCCCCGGCCCCTGATATTGTGACTCTTCTAGGTGTAAGGAGTGGGGGAAGACTCGCTCCCGGTGCACACTCCCACGCTCCAGCTCAACCTACCCACTGAAGCTAGAATCACAAACAACAAGCAGCTGTTTTTGCTTAAGTAGAGCCCAGGAGTATTTGGGACATGCTTTTATGCTAAAAATAATTATCCACCCGCAATTCTACTGTGTCCAAGCATTTTTTTTTCTTTGCTAAATCTGACAACTTTGCTGGACATCCATCATCTGGGTCAGGCTGCAGAATGGCTAGAGTCCAGGGCAAACGGGCAGAGGCTGTCACTACTGAGCCTGTGGGGATGACGTTTGCTCTCAATGTAGGTCCAAAGATTCTCTCTTGGACTGAAGCGTGTTGGAGCTGGCCTGTGAAGGGAGCCGTTTAAATCCTGATGGTGGTCGTGGAAATCAGCCACTGTAGGGGTATTTCCAGTGGAGACATCAGCCAGGGCTACCACAGTGGGGGAGGGCTGGACTACCTCCTCATTCTCGGGCCACATAACCACCAGAGGGACTCCACAGTTGCAGAGGGCCCTTGGAAGGCTGCCAGGAGTAAGGTGGGACTCAACCACCCCCTAGGTCTCTTAGACGAGACACCTCAGAAGGCAAAACCAAACGGAAGTAATTGCCATGACAGCCACCACAGGGCCAGGACCACCTGTGGGCATGGGACTGAGCGAGCACTGATTGGCAGGTGCGCTTCCCCATCCCCGTCACCCAGCACACACGGTGGGTGGCTTTTGGCTGAGAAGCACCTGGCGAGCTCATTGGATCGGCAGTCTAACCACCTGGCCTTGGGATGGGCCTGAAGAGGGCATGAGAGAGCTGGCATTCAGACCCTGGGCCTGTGTATCTTCCCAGGCTCGTTGGGGAGGGCCTACTGTAGAGCCTAGAGTCTACACACTGGGGTTTCCATCTTAAATTCTGTCTGATTTCTCTGTAACCTTGCATGGTGTCATCAGAATTTAAACTCTGGCTTCTGACTGTTTGGAAAGGTAGATCTCTTATCAGACCATGTGTGGAACTACCAAGTTAGTTAGCTAACTAGTTTGTTTTTAAGGTTTTATATATCCCAAGCTGGACTTCAATTCACTATATACCAAGGATGTCCTTGAACCCATGATTCTCCTGCATGAGCCTCCCAAAGTGCTAGAATTACAGGCATGGGCCAACACATTTGATTTCATCACGCATTTTATGAGCCACCATATAGGGCCGGGAATCAAACCCAGGCCTCCTAGAAGGGCTCTGAACCACTGAGCCACTTCTCCAGCCCCTTCACGGTGCAGCTTAAGCGGTGCCCACTGAGAAGACACAGTGGCCCTGTCCTACCAGGATGTGCTCAGTGAAGTGGAAGGCATCAGGTTTGGTACCATGCAATCAGTCACTCCCAGGAAAAGCTAATCTAGGGTAACATCCTAATTTTTAAGAGGAAGAGACAGATGCAGAGGTGGAAGAGCCGCCCTTCCAGCTACTTAGCTTGGGAAGCTGGGTAAGATGGAGCAGAAGCTGGGAGTCAGGGAAGAAACCTCCTCGTGGGTGTGAAGTCACCCACACGCCTGGAGAGGGCCATACAGTGCACTCCTATCCATTTACTTAAAGTAAAAATAGATAAATAAAAATTAAAAAGTGCCGGGTGGTGGCGGTGCACACCTTTGATCCCAGCACTCAGGAGACAGAAGCAGGTGGATCTCTGAGTTCAAGGCCAGTTTGCTCTACAGAGCTAGCACCAGGGCTACACAGAGAAGCCCTGTTTCCGGGTGGGGGACAGGTGGTGGAGGAATGCATGCGTGCCAGAGCATGAGAGGAGAGCTCAGAGGACGACCTGAGGGAGTCAGTTCTGGCAGTAGGTGCCTTCACCGCCCCCATCTTCCCAGGACCCCACAAGTGGGGTCCTGACAGGGGATGTAAGCCAGCCTGAAGCTCAGCGGCAGCAAAGGGGAGGGAGTGCCCGCCTCCCTCCGAGGGCGCCATGGTAAAGCTGGGCTAAGTGGGTCACAGCTCCAACGTGAGCAGATAACCGGGTGTGGGCCCAGCACAGGGCGTGTGTGGCTCCTGTCTTAAGAAGGGCGTCGAGGCAGGGGAGGTTTCAAATCTGTTGTTAACTTGCATTGCCTCACTAAATTACTGGGTGATGCCGAGCAAGCGAGGTACTTCTCCATGTTCATTTCCCCCAGGAAAAACAGGAGAATGACAGGCACCGAAGGAATGGGTTCTCTGTGCTTAGGGCACGGGGAATTATATAAGTCCTCAGGAGTTACACAATCCCAACTTTCATGTTTCAGATGAGGAAACTGATGGCCAAATAGAATGGGCAGCTGCTCTCAAGGCTCCTAGCTGGGGACAGAGATGTCATGCTTTCACACACGGAAAAAAAGGCTTTCAAAGGCATAGATGAAAGCTTTCCCATCAAATGGATGCGACCACATTGGAAACTTTGGAAGCCGACTTCTGAGCGGTTTCTGAGTGTATGTGAAGTGCCTGCGGTTCTGGCTGGTGGCCACGCTACCTCTGGGGGGCAGGAGATGTGACGGACTTCACAGGGTGCTTCTAGCTCCTGGGTCAGAGGCCTCAGAGCTCGCCACCTGGGATCCAGACTTGGCAAAGAGCACCTACTGTCCTCCCCGGAGATCAGTCAGCTTTGCCAGGGCTGTCCCATGAGCATGCTGACTTTAGTCAACCGAATTTACAGCCTGGAAGACCACAAAGGCGGGCGTGGCTCAGGAGGAAACAGTGAGAGGTTTTGGAGTGAGCTGTGCCTGGGTTGAGGTCTAATTCTTTCGACGTTGATTCAGCAAATCTTTATTTAGAGTCTCTTGTGTGGCAAACCCTGGGCTGTGTGACCGAGGGTGGGACACTCAGCTCCTTAAGCCTTGGTTTCCTCTTCTGTTAAATGAAGACACTAAACCCTTCCTTTTAGCATTGTTCTGGGAAGCAGTGATAGGATCTAAAAATGCTTTAACACATAGAAGGGCTCGGTCAGTGACAGCTGCTATTCTTCTTATTGGAAACTGAGCTGCAAATAATGTGGCCACAGATAACTAATATACTGTCATTAAAGCTGATTGATGGGTAGCCACACAGCAAGTGGGAAAAGCCCGACCGCTAAAATACAGAGAAACTAGAGAAAAGGGAAAAAGAAAAATGCTAGTCAGGCCAGGTAGCACGCGCCTGTAATTCCAGCTCTTGGGGAGACAGAGGCAAGTGGATCTCTGTGAGTTGCAGGCCAGCCTGGTCTACAAAGTGAGTCCAGGAAAGACAAGGCTCCACAGAGGAACCCTGTCTTGACAAAAAGAAAGAAGAAGAAGAAGAAGAAGAAGAAGAAGAAGAAGAAGAAGAAGAAGAAGAAGAAGAA